TGGTCTTGGCTTCAGGATTAACCAACATGATGTGGTACTCAGGTAGGTAGGTAAGGGTAAGAGGTGGAAACCTGAAAGGCTAAGCCAAACCCGCTTCCTTCTCCAAATACCCATCCTGCCCTTTCTTTCCAGGATGAACAAAGCCCCTGTCCAAGGCTTTGAGACGGATGTGGGGAATACCACCACTTTGCGTATTATGCAGCCTGAGATTGCCAGCACTGAGAGCCCCGAACCCCAGCTGCTGCTTCCATTGAATTCATCTGGTCTGAGATGGATGATGACTGTGCTACGTGACTATAAACTCTCCTGGAAGCCAAGAAACCCTGGGTATGTCAGAAGGGATGTCCATTGTATTGTAGTGACGGGAACTTCAAAAAGATCCTTGCTGAATGTTGGGGTCCCCCAAGGCCTACTTGATCTTGGGAGCTGCTGTGTCAAATGACTGACCTAATCCTTTTTTAGATTTCGGATAGTCCATTTCACTGATGTAACCAAAGACAAGGTGAGCGACCCAGGAAGGAAAAGGGAGAAAAGGAGGAACATGGACAGACTTCAGGTCAGCACTCTCTTCTACCTTCCTCAGGTTCTGATTATCAGCATCTCCTTCCTTAAGTATATCCAGGAAAATTGGCTGGAAAACTATGGTCAGTATCCATCGTTGGGGTTTGTGGCTCTGATGTATGCCTTGCATACCTGTGACCAGGTAAGACATCTTCTGGAACTCAAGACCTTCATTCCTCTGTTTAACCTTAAGTTTTCTGCCTGGCTTTCAAGAAAGACCATGCATGATCTGACCTATGGCTTCCTCTGTCCCAAACTCCCACACTGGGCTTTTTGGGGTCCCCTAATGACACCACCTGCATTATGCCTTCTCACATGCCTGGAATGTCCTTCAGTATCTGGAGGGAATCCTCTCTTTCCTCAACACGTTGGGAAAAAGCTAGCTGATACTTACTCTTTTCTGGGCTCCAGGGTTACTCTGAGTATTCAGAGTTTATCCTCCTGGATGAGTGAACTCCTTCCTCCTCCCAGCCCCAAGAGGTGGCCGCACACTGGGTGTTGAGTGTGTTTGCTGAAGGAGTGGCAAGTGTGCATGGGGGCAGGACAGGATCCAGCCTGTTACCCATGGGCATCTCCTGTTTTATCCCATCTCCCAGGTGTCCTTGTTTGGCTTTGGAGTAGACCATCACAATAGATGGACCCACTACTGGGATGATAAATATCTGTGCTATGACATCATGAGAAAGTTCCCCAAAGAAAACGATGTCATCATTAAGTTGCAGTGTGAGGGGAAGGTTGCTGTCTACAGATGAGATGGCTCTACTGAAGCCCCAGGAAGCAGACAGATAGCCAAAGAGACCTTGGAGTGTCAGAGAGGGACTTAACTTCAAGTGGACACAATGGAGATCACTCTGCTACCCAATAAAACCCTAGTTTATTTCTCTCACTGAATTCCTAGTGTCATTTTTTTTTTAAGAGAGAGTAAGAGACAGAGTGAGAGACAGAGAGAGAGAGAGAGAGAGAGAGAGAGAGAGAGAGAGAGAATTTTTTAATATTTATTTTTTAGTTTTTTGGAGAGCACAACATCTTTGTTTGTATGTGGTGCTGAGGATCGAATCCGGGTCGCACGCATGCCAGGCGAGCGCGCTACCGCTTGAGCCACATCCCCAGCCCTCCTAGTGTCATTAAAGGGCTATGTTCTATAACTGATTCTCAACAGCAAATGTATCATCATGTGACTCATACTATATATTATCAAAAACCAAAATTAATGAAAACCAGATAAATCTGAAAACAAATCAATAGAATCTAACTGTGTATCAAATTGATAAAATAACCACCAGAAAAAGGACTATTTCAAGTTCCCTTACAGGGCATCCTTTACAGGATATTAAAGGATAAAAAGAACTATAAAAAAATTATTGCTTTGCTGTCTGCCATGTGATAATGTAACAAGACAGGCACCTTCAAACAAGGACTGTCACCAGACACCTGATACGTAGACACCTTGATCTCAGATTTCCCAGTCTCTAGAATTAAAAGATCTAGCCAGATGAAGTGGAATACACCTGTAATCCCAGAGCCTGGGGAGACTGAGACAGGAAGATTGTTAGTTTAAAGCCAGCCTCAGCAAATAGAATATAAAAAGTCTGGGGATGTGACTCAGTGGTTAAGTGCTCTTGGGTTCAATCCCCAGTACAGAAACAAAAAACAAACAAACAAACAAAAACCCCCAAAACTGACCCCCTTAGGTTTTACTCAAGTATCTGTGAGTAAAATCATGTGCAACAGGAACTTAAATATCTGAGGCAATTCTATGGTCAGTCAAAAGTTGAGAAGTTGTACTTTGGTAGGACTCTCTAGAAACTTCTCTAAGATCCAGATAAAAACTAGGGAACAAAGGGGAATTTTGGAATGTTGTCACTGTCCTCTTCATGACCTACTCTCTCCATTTAGGGTGTTAATTTACTTCTCTTATAGTAAACTTAGCTATACCTCAAAACAAAAAATACCTTAAACTTCACTCAAAATTTAATATATCATTGGTATTATTTTTTGAAACCATAGAATAAATGTCATAAGTTAAATAAATATACTAATACTATTAGGAACCAAATACAGAACCAGTTAGGTAAAATAAAAACCCTATGACGTTAAATTCAAACTGGAAATATCATTAGGAACTCAATTTCTAGATTAATTAATTAGCTTATTTATATATTTATTTTTAATGCTGGGATTGAGCCCAAGGCTTATATGCTCTACCACTGAGCTATATCCTCAACCCTTTTTATTTTTTATTCTAAGACTTTTCTTCCCCGCCCTCTACCTCCTGCTTGACAATCCTCACTGGGAATTGATGGTTGTGGCCTTCTCAGAAAGATGTACATACCAGCTTCAGTTCTGTTCTTGCCCTTTCTTATTGCTGTCCCCATCACACTTGGCTGCCAAGCCCTCTTTCCTAAACTGGGCCTTTGGCGAATGTCAAGGTGAAGAGTCTTAGGACAAAACAGACATGCAGGAACTCACATGTGATTTGGGTGATGAGCCCCTGATATAACTGGGCTAGCATGAAGGACTCTATTGGGCATCAACCCAGGGCAGACACAGGATACGTTAAATGTCACCTCACCCATCTCTCCTCAGTCTCCAGGCAGAGCACCCTTCAGGACTCAACAGGTGGACAGACAGGCAAGAGGTAGTGTTGGAAGGAGGTGTTTGTGGAAGGCTGAGGAGAGATGAAGGCCAACAGTGTAGTGGGATGTGGAACTCTGTGACCACAGTTCCCCCCTGTTCCCAGTGCCTGGCCCAGCCTGCCACTTACTATTTGCTTTGTCCAAAGGGAAAAAAAGAATGTGGTCTTTAATGGGGGCTTTGAGGCTTGGTAGATGCCTCGGTGCTTACCCCATGGCTGATGTTAAAAAAATATATTTTTTAGTTGGACACAATACCTTTATTATTTTAAAATTATTTTTAAAAATATTTTTTAGTTGTTGATGGACCTTTATTTTATTTATTTGTATGTGGTGCTGAGAATTGAACCCAGTATGTCACACATGCTAGGAAAGAGTGCTACCACTGAGCCACAACCCCAGCCTAATACCTTTATTTTATTTATTTTTATGTGGTGCTGAGGATCAAACCCAGGGCCTTGCACGTGCTAGGTGAGTGCTCTACCACTGAGCCACAATCCCAGCCCCTCCCCGCCCCATGTTCCTGCTTAAGAAAAAAAAAAACTTTTATAAGTGGCAACAATATCTTTAATTTTATGTGCTGCTGCTCAACATGGCAGGCTTGGACAGCACTTCAGATGGGTCCTAAAGCCTCCGAGGAACTGGAGGCCACCTTGTCTCTAGAGGCTGGTGGAGGGTCTTCAGTCCTGGACTCTGGGCTGCACCCTCTCCTTGACCTCTTTCTCTTTTGGGTCTCCCTCTCCAATGGGGTACAGTACATTCTATACTGGGACCTTGGGATGAGGGGTCAGTAATTTGTGTTCTTTTCCACAGGTACCAAGCTTGATTTCACATAAGAACGAACTATTCTAGTGGATCCCTAGGCCACAGCCAGACCCTGACACCCTTCTAAGCCAATCCTCTGCTGTGGTGGGAACGTGAGGATCTCAAGTATTTGGGATAACCAAGGATGAAGGGGCAGGAGGGTGAATGTGGGGAGCTGTGCTTGGCTATGTCCTGTCTCTGCAGAAGGAACCAGGTGTCCCACTTCTGGGCTGTGCGAATGATGTAGGCAATTGAACCTTCCTGCACTTAATGCAGTTGCCAACAATAGGTCTTGTGCCTGTGAGGTGGGTTTAGTCTAGACTGTGTCCATCAGGCTCAGTCCATGTGACAAGTTCTGCCATAGTCCATCCTCTGAACTGGCTTGATGCATAGTTAGAAAAAGGGGACCAGAGTCAATTCCAGTTGATATGTCCAGGAAGGTACACCTCACAGCCATTCATGCAGATAACCATGTGTCATGGGGAACAAGGCCAGATGGAGCTTCTCAGCTCTAGAGAATCTGACTGTAGCCACATATCAATCCAGTGTTTTTGAAACCCAGAACTTATTTTATATTAAAAACATTTGGTGGTTCCTCATTGCCCAAGAGTTGGAAGTGGAAGCCCTCTATAATCTACCCTCCTCCAACCTTGGCCCCCAACCTCTGCTATAGCCAGATCAGTCTTCTCACTGATGAACTTAGCAGCACCCATCTCCTGATCTTTCCTGAAGGGCCAGTTCATGCCTCCCTCCCTCAGTCCCCGTGTACTTCTAGTCAGTACATAGAGCTGCCTCTGACTTGTTTCAGGTATTAGTCTGTTCTCATCAATTGAACTCCAGGCTCTGTGTGGACAGGGACTTTTGTTTTGTGTATATAACCCTGATCAGAGAGCATGACATGCAGGAAGTTCATGTTACTTGCAGGAATTAGCAAATTCTTCCCAAATTCCCTTGATGTGCAGCTGCTGCCCAGTTACACAAGTGGAGATAGCAGCAGAGGACTAATGCAGAGCCTGGGTTTATTGTTGAAGGGAAAGGCAAGAGAGAAGGTGACGTGTTGGGAAAATAAATTGCAGACAATAGGGAAACAAAACCTCCCTGAAGTTAATGCACAGAATGCTCAAAACATGGACAAGAATACCCACACACTGTCGTCATTGTTGAAGACCTAGTGTGGGCTGTTCTGGTTTCTTCTGGCTGTAAGCCAGTAGCTGCCCCTTGGCCAGGACAAGGCACTCCTTGGGAGAGTCTAAGTTATCAGGCAAATGTGATCTGCCTCATTCCCACGTAAGCTGGGGCCCTCTGCAGCCTTGTGGTTCTCTGTCTTCTTCCTGGGAATGCCAGGTAATCTGGGACAGCCAGGCTGGATAACAAGAGAAGACCTTTCCTTTGGCAAACCTATAGCCACTATGGTCATCTGTCCATATGCCATCAAGCTGGCCTGTATCCTGCTCTAGCTGTGGCTGCTACCTGGGGGTGGTGTGGGTAGTGCTGGGGCTGGGGTATAGCAGGACTGGCCCTGGAGATGTCAGACTTTGGGTCAGGGACTCATCCAGCTTGCGGGTCTCAGCCTCTAGGACAGTAGCTTCAGGGGCCTGTGCCACAGCAAGAAGAGAGTGGGACAAGCTGTGGTGTAGGCCTGCTAGCTCACGGCTGGTCTGCACAGAGCGAGCGATGTAGTCCTGCCTCTGCTTCCGTTCCAAAGCCAGCTGGGCTCGTAGCACAGCCACCTGGTGGGCAGGAAAACCAAGAGGGAGAGCAGTTGAGGGCCCTGCAGCTGTCCATCTTGTCTGCTCTGTGCTCTTGTGGCTCTTGGCCTAGCATTCATTTATACACATGAACCTCAGAATCAGGCTTTAGGGTGTCTGGGACAAGGACTCAGAGAATCCACTAATTCACAACCCTGACTGCCCCAATGATGCAAATAGGGAGCTTCAAAACAACAAAACTGTTCACCAGCTTTACTGAATTTAAATCAGCTTTACTGACTTTAAATGTATAATTTGATGAGTCTGATAATGGCATACGTACATGTAACCACTATCCCAAAGACACAAAACATTTTCACACTGCAGAATGTCCCATCATGTCCCTTTGGAAGGTTTTCTTTTCCTTTTTTTGGTACTGGGGATTGAACTCATGGGCACTTTACCACTGAGTTACATCGCCCAGCCCTTTTTATTTATTTTTAAAAATTCTTATTTATTTATTTTGCAATCCTCCGGCCTAAGCCTCTTGAGGCTTTTTGGAATATTTTAAAAAATATTCTGACTTAATTAGATTGGAGTGGGGCCAGGCATTGGTAATTTTTCAAAGCTCCCCAGGTGATCCTAATGTGCAGCCATGGTTGAGAATCACTGGCTAATCCTTTCATTTTTTCAGATGGGTCTAATGAGACAAGCAAGGAGGTGAAGCTACAGGGATCTCAGGGTGGTACAGGACTAGGGTGAGGTCTAGGGTGCAAATCTAAAGAAGTGCTCCAGGTCAAAAGTGAGTGCCCCCTTAAATACTACAACCCAGAAGTACCTCTTATCTCACTCTGCCAGGGCCCTGTCTCAGTATTGCTTTGTATAAGTTCAACAGAATTCAAAGAAACAGCTGGAGTCTAGCTACAGAGTCAGGCCCTACCAGTAGTAACTACTGATTTCTGATACAGGCCAGAAATCAAAATTCCATACTTCTTATTACTCCTGGGCATTGAGAGAGAGTGACCCTTGGCTTGACCTATGCACAATGTTCCTCTGCCTGGAGTGCTGGCAATAGTCCAGCCTGTAAGGGTGCAGCTAAGGTACAGGGGGCCAGCCTAGTTTTCCACACACTATTCTGTTTTAGAATCTTTGCTCCTCAGGCCTCTTTTTTTTCCAAATATGAAAATGGAGATTGGTCTGGAACATGCTCTTTGTTCTATTCCCACCCTAAGCACATGGCAGGTGGAGTTGGGGCAGGGCTCCTCTTGCCTCCCAGGGAGACTGAAGTTCTCTGAAGGCTGGAAATACTTCCCCTCTCCCTGTTGGAGGTACTCAAAAGGCCAAGCACACAGTAGACACTGATACCTTGTCATTTAAGTGTGTGACTTACAAAACGGATTCTTCTAGAACATACCTCTTTCTGCAGGTCAGCTATATACTTGGCATCTGAGGAACTGCTCTGTCCTCTTCTTCCATCCTAAGGAAGACACACCAATCTGGTTGGAATGGACCTTCCCACTCTGGGGTTTCTACAGGTATTCTTTGGCTACCTCATCACAGTCTTGGGACATGAGCAAGGACTGTGGACCAGAAGTGCCTAAACCTAACCCTAGATCTCTATGGGGTACCATATCCCAGGGCAAGGAGAGGCCCAGGCAGGCCCACAGCAGCATAAAGGACAATGTTCACAGAGACCTGATGTTAGAAAGGCTTGGCACTTTTATTTAATAGAAGCATGCCAAACATCTGCTCTGTGCCTAGACCTTTGCTGTGAACTAAGGATGAAAAGGAGACAGACATAGTGCCCAGAGCTGGGAGAGCTAGAGATGCTCACCAGAAACAGTCCCTCCTTGCCAGGCTCCAATACCTCAACTAAAGAGTGATAATTTAGGGAGAATCTTTTCCAAATACCTTATCCAAAAAAGTGACTCTGTTCCTAGTAAATACCATGGATCTTAACCTTGTACTTCAAGGAGGTCTAAGAGAGCTGTGTTCAAGCATCCAGGCACATTGGGGGTTGGGAAGTACCATACAACATCCTGTGCCAGTGTGACTATAGCCCTGCTCCCACTGAGCCTGGGGTACTGGTCTGGGAGTGGGCATATCTGAGGCTCCTCAGAATGCAGGATCACTACACTTGCCTCCCCCAACCTACTGGTGTTGGGCCTCCTTCTAAGGCAAGGAGAGCCTGAGCTGTGCCAAGTTCGGCAGAACCCATCAGGAGGGGCTCTCTGAATTGGCTGGAGTGGCCACCTTCCCACCTGAGGGTGCCTGGGATATGCAATGTAGAGGGCCAAGTTTGTGGTGGCTGAGGGTGCAGGTGAAGAAAATAGGTGCACCTTCTGTGTGGGTGATGAGGCAGCGGCGTCACTGATCTCTGGGGCCCCTGCCCGAGATGTGCGCATGGAATCCCTTTTCAGCTTCCTCCGTTCTCGCTCCACCTGCCAAGATGTGAATGTCAGACCAGGTCTTGGTTTGGGGCTAGAGTATGTGCAGGGGCCCACAGAAGCATAAGGGACAATGCTCACAGAGACCTGATGTCCTGATGAGTGTAAACGGACAGCAACCATGGGCAGTGAGACTCCTGAGCTGGGAAAAGAATGTGCTAGGGCAGCCCTGAGTGCAAAGAAGTGCTCCTGAGGCAGAAGGAAGAGGCTACTTCTCAGGCCTTTGGCTCAAAGGTCAGCAAACTTTTTCTGTGGCAAGTATTTTAGGCTTTGTGGGCCGTTCTAGTTCTGTCACAACTATTCAGCTCCTCTGATGTAGTGGACAAGGCCACAGACAATGCATGGCTGTGTCCCAATAAAACTATTTCAGAAGCAGGTGGTAGGCTGGGTTGGGCTCACAGGCTGTAGTTTACCAACCCTTGCTTTGGGAGCTGCATGAGAAGTAGAGATGTATGTGTACCCAACCACAGAGGAGGAGCTGAGGACGGCAGAAGTCCCTGACCTGCTCCAAGGTGGTCCGCAGCTGGACGTTGTGGCGCTGCAGCCTGCTCCGATCAATTTCCAGTCGGGCCACCGCTTGCTGAAGGTTTTCAAGCCTTTGTCTCCACGACTGTTGCTGCTCCATTCCAGAATTAGGGTCAGCCTCCATTCCTGAGGCCTGTTGGGAAGGCTTGTGAATCTCACCTGGGCAGTCCCACAAATAGTTGGGGGAACAGACTGAGAGCAAATGTACCAATTAAGCAGGTCTGGGCTTAAAGGGACCCAATTTGTAAGGAAGAGGAACAAGCCTGACAGAAGCTCCCTCTTTTGACCATTAGTTCCCACCAGCCCTCAGCTTACCTCTCTGGGCTGTTCGCTCTGCCCTGCTCTGGGCTCCTGCTCCACTCTGCTGGTTGAATGTAGGCTGTGTAGTCGCTCCTTCTCCAGAGCCTGTCTGGTAAGGTCCAGCTCTGTCTGGGATATGGAGGTATAAGACAAAAATCACACCACGCCTATCTCATATCCAGACTCACCACAGTTTCTATCTTCATAAAACCCGTTTGACTTCTTCACCAGGGTATAGTTTTAGTTTTCCTGGAGCCTCTGAGTGATTCTAGTCTAGACCCCTCATTTTCCAGATGAAGAAACAGAGCGAAGAAGCATCTTCCCAAGGATTCCTGGAGAGCCTGCACGTGAGCTAGGACCAGAGCTGCCATCTTATTTCAGGTCTCCCATGAAGCCAAGCAACAACTTGGGGCACTGATGTGTTCTAGAAACAGCAAGGACTCCTGGAGTCATACAGAGCTGGATGTGATGTCACCACTTATTGGTTGTATGACTCAGGTCAAGATTTGAGATCATTCCAAGCCCAAATTCCTCATATATAAAATGACTATATGCTCTATAAAACAAGGATCATACCCTTGAGGTTAAATCCCTTTGGATGAATGGGGAAACTGGAATCCTAATACTAGATAGTTTCTCAGCACCTGGTGTTTCATAAAAAACAGTCAAGAAAAAAGATTCACAAGAGGGAATGAGCATACATGCGTGGTGGCACAGGCTGTAAGTCAGAGAGGAAGAGCTGACCCTGATGTCAATAACCTCAGCTCTAAGAGTCAGACTGTCAGATCTAACCCCCCTTGGCCAGTTACCAGTCGTATGACTTTGGACAAGTTAACCTAACTACCATTTCTCAACTCTAAAAAGAGCTAAAAGTTCCACCTTTTCAGGGTAGTGAAAGAGAAATAGTGCACTATTGCTGGGCATGGTGATGTGTAATCCCAATGACTTAGGAGGCTGAGGCAAGATAACTGCCAAGTTCTAGGCCAGCTTCAGCAACTTGGCAAGATCTTGCTTCCAAATAAAAAGGGCCGGGGTGTAGCTCAGTGGTAGAGCATCCTTGGGTTCAAACCTCAGTATAAAAGGAAGGAAGGGGGCTGGGGTTGTGGCTCAGTGGTAGAGCACTTGCCGAGCACGTGTGAGGAACTGGGTTTGATCCTCAGCACCACATACTCAGTATCCCAAGAGCATGGCTAGCAAGTACCCTCAGGCCCAGTTATGTACTGGGCCTGTGAGAGTAGACCTGCAAATAGGAAAGAAGTTTTACTGAGTTTTTTCTTCCCAAGCACTCGGTAGGTATCGTCTTACTCCATACTATCGTTCCTTATTTATTTATTTTTTTAAAATTCCCTATCTTGTTAATAAGAAATCCCAGAGTCAGGGAAGTGAAGACACTTACCCAGGGCCACACAGTCAATGAATTTGAGCAGTATTTCACCTATATTGCAGGAACTTGACTCCAAAGTTCATAAATATAATTCCCTATATATTGCCCTTTTACAATTTTGTGAGTTCCCAGAAGGCAAGTTCTTGTGGGACTGTGTGTTTGAGATGAGTAAGGGAGATCCTATGGGGATTAGTTAAGGAATGAGGATGTAGAGTCAATTTCCATGAAAAAATGGACTGAATTTCTCTTGACAAAAGCAACAATGTTCCTCTGTAGTCAGCTGTCAACCTAGCTTTCCTGAAAAATTGTTCACTCTGTGCAGGTTTTGTGCTCAGTGTTAGGGGTATAAAGATGACTTAAAGCATGACATTTAAACCTGAGGTTAAGTGTTATGCCCCACAAATCCTATTTGAAACCCACTTCCTTTGTCACTTAACATTATACCTACCAGAGCCCACTTGTTCCTAACTGCTGATGACTCCAAATTCTCCATCCCTAACCCAGTCTCAGTCTCAACTTCAGACCACTTCACTGAGCCGCCCTCTGGACAGCTCCCCTTGCATATCCCATAGGTCCTCCTCGTTCCACTCCTTTTCCTCATACCTGCTTTTCTTCATCTTAGTGGGAAGAAACCCTAGTGTTGCCTTTGACTTTTTTTTCTGTCCTTTCTTACTCCTCCCACCTCTTGGTCAGTCAATTGCAGAACACCTGTGAGTACCTGTTTCCACTCACACCATCTTAGGTGTCCACCACTCCCCTGGACCTCTACTAATCTCCTAGCTGGTCTCCCCAGATCTGCTGTTACTGCACACGGCAGCCTGAGAGATTGTCCTGAACTGTATCTCTGATGGTGTCATTTTCCTGCTCTTCAGGTGCTTCCCACTACTAACCCAGGTCCTTAGCGTCTTGCTTACAGGTCCATACTTCTAAGACCTGAATGCTGTGGTCTCTGCTGTCCTCTCTTCTCTTGCCAACAGCCCCTCTAACTTCCAGACAACCTGAACCTCCTACACCTCCGTGTTCTTTCTCCTTTTTCCTCTTCCTTAGAAAGCCCCTGCCCCCACCAGTGCTTGGCTAGCTCCTGACTGGTCCCTTCAGATATTTTTTTTTAGTTGTTGAGGACTTTCATTTTTATTTATTTATTTAGATGCGGCACTGAGAATCGAACCCAGTGCCTCACACATGCCAGGCAAGCGCTCCACACTGAGCCATAACCCCAGCTGCAGATCTCATCCACTTTTAGCAGGAAGCCTTTTGGGACATACTTGAAGGAAAGGTTGGGCAACCCTCCAGCCTGCCTGGAACAAGAGTGCCCTCATTAGGCACGAAGCACACTGCAGCACAGCTCTTTATTTACTAGTCCCGCTCCAAAAGCAGAGACTGTGTGTCTCACAGACTAGCTCATGTTGAGGTACTCATGATCTCAGCTTCTTATACTTTCTGAGTGCCACAAGGCCCAGGGTGGCAAGCAGCCCTCGAGCTCAGATAGACGGGTTCTGTCTCTGACCCTCGCTTCCCCTGAGGCACTTACCTGCAATCTCTGCTGTTGTGATTCCTGCTCCAGGACAGAGGCTTGTAGAAACATGGCTACCTCCTGCAGACTGTTGACACTGGCCTTGCTCTGGGCCAGGGACATCGCCAAGTCCCGGGCCTTCTCCCTCCACTCAATCTCCCTGGCCTCTGTCTGCCTCAGGACCATCTGCAGTCGCTCCAAGTCCTGCTGCAGCACAGGTGCTAAAGAATTCAATTTTGGAGATGGCTCTTCCACTGAGGAGGCTTTGTGGAGGTGGGGAGAGGCCTCCAGATTCATCCTTTGCTGGGCTTCTCTCAGTTCCTGAATCTCTTCTTCCTTTTGGGCTAGAATCAGCTTTAGTTCCTTTAGATTCTCACGCAGGCTCCACATCTCTTCTTCTTGCCCAAGACTCTGCTTCTCTTGGATCCTATTCTCTCGATTGCTTTGTGCCAAAGACTTCTCCAACAGCTGCCCCTGTTCCTTCTGCTGCCTGAGCTCTTCATCCCTTTGGGCAAGTGCCTGCTGAAGTTGCTTCACATCCTCCTGGTGTCGAAGATCCTGGTCTTGAATCTCACCTTCTCGCATCCTCAGGGCCTTTTCCAGCTGCTGGGCATGTGTCTGACAGGTGCCGAGTGCAGCTTGCAAGGTGACAGTGCTGGCCTCCAGACCACGGCTCAATTCTGCCTGCTCAAGGAGATGCTGTTCTTTTTCCTTCAGGGCAGCCTGGGCCTTGCTCAGGGCCTCCTGCAGAGCCTCTGCCTGGCCCAGTGCAGCGGTTTCCTGATCCCTAGAAGACTGGCTTTCTGCCAGCAGAGCCTCCAGCTCCTGGTCTCGCTCTTTGAGTGTGGCCTCTGCCTGCAGCCAACTGTCCTGCAGAGCTCTGGCCTCTGCCTCGTGCTCCTGTGCCTGCTCAGCACATTGTTGCTGAAGGGCCAGCAGAGCCTTCTCCTGCTCCAGAGACTCGGCCCTCAGGTCTCCTAAAACCTCCTCCAGTGCCTGAACCTGCCGTCCCTCCACTGCCAGCTCTTCCTGGAGCCTTCTCACCTGCTCCCTGTGCTCCTCCAGCTCTCCTTGGCACTCCTTCAGCGTCACATGGGCCTGCTCCAGAGCAGCCTGGAGGGCACTTGCCTTCTCCTCCTCCTGGGCCAGGGCCTGCCGCTGATCTTGCAGCAGGGCCTCGAGATCTTGGTCCCTTTGGGCCAGGGCTCTTTGGACCTCTTCCAGCTGACCCTGAAGTGCCTGCTCTTTCAGCTCCCCTTGTTCCTTGGTTTCCTGAAGGTGCTGCTGCAGGATTACTATCTCCTGCTCTCGCTGGGTCAGGAGCAGGCTGGTGTCACCCACCTTCCTGTGCAGGCCCTGGAGCTGCTGCTCCAGCTGGTCCTTATGCTCCTGAAGTTCCTGGATATGCTCCAGCTGGCATTCCACCTCCTTCTCCTTATCACGCAGGATCAGCTTCATGTGCTCCAGGCTCCCACGCTGTGCTTTACTAGGGCTTTTCCCCTCCTCTGCCCGCTCCTGCATCAGCTGCCTCTGGGAGGCCAGCTCCTGGCCACGCTCTCTCAAGGACAGCTTGATCTGTTCCAGGTCCTCCTCTAGGATCTTGGTCTGCAGCATCCTCTGGTCTTCCAGAACCTGAATTCTCTCCTTCTGCAACATCAGCTCCTGGTCCCTTTTCTCAAGGTCCTGAGTGAGTTGGTCTTTCTGCCTCCGCAGCTCTTCTATTTGTTGGTGCTGGGACTTCACTTCCTCATCCTTTTCCTGTAGCTCTCTTGCCAGAAAGGTGCTGTGGCTCTCCAGCTCCTGTATCTGACTGCTTTGTGCCTGCAGCTCCTGACTTCTTTCTTCCAGGTCCAGAGTCAGGTGGGTCAGAGCCACCCTCTGTGTTTCTCTCTGGCCCTCCAGTTCCTCAATCACCTTCTGCTGGCCCTCCACTTTGTGATGACTTTCCTCTAGCTCCAGAGCCAGGCATTCCAGAGTCATCAACTGCTTTTTCAGATCCTGAATCTGTCCTCTCTGGGACTCAATCACTTGGGCTTTCTTCTCAAGTTCCAGAAGTTGATGCTCCAAAATGTTCCTCTGAGTCTCCCGATCCTTCTCGAGCTCTTTGATTTGCTCCCTCTGCACAGTCAGCTTCTGTTCTCGCTCCTGGACAGCCATGGGCAGGTGCTCTAAGACAGACCTACACTTCTCCAGCTCCTGAATCTGTTCTTGTTGCAGATCCACCTCTTGGTTCCTCTTCTTCAGGTCCAGAGACAGCAGTTCTAGAGCTGCCTTCTGCATTTCCCGCTGCTTCTCCAGTTCCTGGATTTCTCCCTGCAAAGTCTCTACCTCTCCTTCTCTTTCAGATAGAGTCTGGGCCAGCAGAGCCAAATTCTCCTGCAAAGCCTTCCCTTGGGCCAACTTCAGCTCGCCCTGCTCTTGTAGAGCCTGGGCTCTCTCCCGCTCACTCTCCACCTCTTCGTTTTTCAGTTTCAGTGCAGAGCGAGCCGTTCTTAGGTCTTCTTCTAGGACCCCAGCAGCACTTGCCTGAGCCCTGGCTTCTGTGACACATACTTGCAGATGTTCAACCTGGGTTGTTAAGTTCTCTTTGGCTGCCTGAAGTAACTTTCGCTCACTCTGGAAAACAAGAGGCAAAACCACTTTAGGCACTGGACTTTCCCTTCCTTATTTTGTGGCATTAGCAATGACAAAGACTTGGGAAAAATGAACAATTACACTTAAGCTGATCCTGTAAAAGGAATCCCTACCATCTACCAGGACTCTGCATGGTGCAGAGTCATCCCAGACCCTGGTCCTTCAAGGAAAGGGACAAAAATCTCAACCTAAACTCAGAGAAGGTAATTAGAGGAGGATTCATTATGACCTTAACAATGGCCTCCAGGGACTTGGGGACAACCAGAGGAACTGAGAGACTTGCTAAAAGGAAGCTGGGCACATTACCATAGGCAAAGGAGAGCGACAGCTACAGCTGTGGGCCCTGAGTACCACTCAGTGGCCCAATCAGTACCACTTTACCTGGGCTTCCATTCTCTGTAGCTCTGCTTGCCGGAGGCGACTCTGTAAGGATGCCACAGTTTCATGCAGCTCCCTCAGCTCAGATTCTAGGGTGCTGTGTTTTCCTTCCCACTTGAATTTCTCTTTGGGAAAAGCAGAGATACTGAAATTAGGTCCATGGTTGGGGTGGGAGACCACAGGAGTATAGAGGCAGATGGAGAATGGGGAACATAATCAAAGGGGAAGAAGGCCAGGAGAGAATTACATTCAGCATCCTAAGACATCACCCATCTGCCAGCTGCTCCCATCTATCTAGGCTCCCTGAGGCTCCCAGACTTCTGTCTGTGTCTGCTGCCAGTCCTAGCATTGCCTGTCAATTATCCCAACACATCTTTATCCTGATCACAGAGATCCTTAGGCCTGGATTCCAGGGAGGGTTGAGCTAGCAACATCAGAGGTTCCTTCCACACCCCAATCACATGATTTTGTAGAAGCTCCTAGGGACCTAGGTGGCTCTGCTGGCTGCCCCTCACTTCTGCAGGGTGTCCTGGAACCCAGCTCTATTTGTGTGGATCTCTAAGAGCCCTCAAATGGCCTCAAAAAGGCAAAACCCATCATCCAAGTTTCCTTTTCTACAGAAGAACCTTGAGCCTCAAGAGCCTTCTCTCTCCTCTCTAAGCGGTCATCACCCTTTCTAACCCTTAGCTGTGGTACAGATGTTTCCCCGAGATTTCCTCTCCTTGTTTTCTCCCAAATAAGTCCTTATCCTTCTGCCCTAAAGTCTAATTTTGAGGACATTGTTGGCAATGAAACAAATAAGTAACATGAATAAATAACAAAAGAAACAGGATTTTATCATATTCTCATACCCTGGCCCTGGATTTCCAGCTTTTTTGTTTTTAAGAACTCTTGCAGAGACAGAAAAATGGAAATCCTGCCAGCTCCTTCTGTCAGTTTCCCAACTCTGTTCTTCCTGATCCCTTCTTCCAGGATGGCCCTCAAAGGCCAAGCAAAGCATACAAATAGTTCAAGGGGCTCACTGCCCCTTTGGTTCTACCTTAGATATAATCTCCCAGGTGTGGGTAAATAATAGAAAGAGTGGCTGCTAGGCTGTTCCTGCCACTTTTGGTCTTTCCACCTGTCCTCTCTGCCAATCTGCCCACCGACACAGCTCACCTTCCTGGCTCTGGGAGAGCTGTCTCTGAAGGTCCTGAAACTTGGAGTGGATCTGGCTCTTCTCCACCTCAACATCAATTAGACTCTGTGTCAGCTTCTGGGCCTGATCTCTCAGGTCATCCTGGGAAAGGAAGGCAGGGCTGAACTTGAGTCCTTGTTTGCCACAAAGCTGTCCCAGCCAGGGCTCAAATTCTATTCTCACTTCCTCTCTGGGGTGGCCTGCCATCAAGGCCCTATTCTCAAATAGCTTCCACAGAACTCACATGTGCATTTTGCTCCCTGAAGTGATGATGGGCTCTACTCCAACTTGCCTCCATCTAATATCTTTTGAAATAATTGCTCAAGGCCCTATTCCAGGGAACACCTCTACCCTCCCAAATACTTACTTCAAAGTGTTGCCTAAGGGCAACCTCTTCCTTCCTTGGATCCTTTGTGAACCAGAATGGACTGCCCCTTCCAAATAGTTCCACCAGTCCATCATCTGTGTCTATTACTGATTCAATTACTTCTGTCAGTTCTGTTTGCTATCAGAATGCAGTTTGGTCCCTCACTGTGTCAAGAGACTTCTTGAGGGCAGAGGTCAGGTCTTTCTCTTTTTGATAATCCCAGCTCAGAGTGGCTGGCATGTAAGTGGCCAGCAATTTGCATGGATGCTCCTATAAAAGGCAACCTCAAATCTTGGTGGTCCTTTCCTCAACGAGTTTCTCTTGGAGGGCTTGGTCTAAGAATAAATTCTTGGCTGAGAGGAAAATGATGTGAACCAAAGCGTACACATATAGTTTTATAGTTTACAGGGCTCCTTTACACCCCCACTCCTTTAATCTTCACAACAACCCCTGGGGCAGACATTAGCGGTCCTCCTTTGCAAGTGAAAACAAGGCCCAGGAAACCTAAATGCTTTAGTCACCAGGAGGCAAGTGATAGGGAGGAGCTCATTCCAACTTGACCTCAGGAATAAAACAAGCCAAACAGCTACTTGAGTCTTTGCCTCAGTCTTCTCAGGGAAGTGACCCTCAAGGAAGGAGGGCAGAGAATACACACCCGGGCCTGCTGAGTCTTCCACAGGTCTTGGTGAAGCTTGTGGAGAGCAGATTCTACAGCCTCAGCCGAAAGAGCAGTCAGGAGGGACCCTCTCTTAAAAAGGCTCCTGGCTCCATTTTGGCCTGAAGAAATGGAAGAAAATCTCCTTACCTGGCTGCTGTCATGAAAACAAATAGTCTTCCTTCCCAGATGTGGCCTTGGCCTTCCTGCTAGTCCCTCCTCTCATCAAAGAAGCCCCCCCTTGGTATTGGTAGTTGATTCATCACATAACTTTCTGCTTTTCTAAGCACTAGGCACCAAGGTGGGTACCAGGTAGTTAGCTGTCATTTGTTATGCACCCTGTGGGCTATTTACACCTGTAACCATATTAACTCCTTAGAAAAATCCTGAGGTAGGTGCTTTTAATATCCTCACTTTAAAGTCAGAAGTTAGGGACTTGCCCAATAACACATAGTTAGCAAAATGGTAGAGCTAGAGTTCAAACTCACATAGAGTGAATTCTAGAGTGGTGATCTTAACTTTGATGTAATATTGCCCGAGGAACTGCGTTCCCCTCCTTTCTCCCCAGGGAGCTAGGCCTGGCTTCTGCGGTAAGGACTAAGAGCTCACCTGGCTCTGGGCCCCACAGGGTGGGAGCAGAGTCTCCCCCGCCCTTCAGCTCTGGCCTGTTCTCACATAGAGATCCCAAAGCCTTCTGCAGAACAGAGTAGAGGCTGGCCAGCTGGGCCTGAGCATGGTTCCCAGGCTGCTGCTCAGCAGCCAGCACCTCCAATTGGCTTTCTGTGTTACGCAGTTGCAGCTGAAGTTCGTCAGCCTTGGCTTCTTGGGCCCACAAGGAAGCTCGCAGCTGTTGCTCTGTGATCCGAGAGGCCTCCAGCTCCTCCAGCAGTTGTGCTTCCTGAGCCACAAAATCAGCCTCCTTTTCCTTCACCTCCTGCCTCAGTAATTCCACCTGCCAGGGAGGAAGCCATTCACTATGAGCAGGGGGTGGATACTCTCTCCTCAGACTTTCTAAGCCTGACCCTGCTCAATCCCTTGTAAATCTGGATCAGGACAGAGGATTTCAGCTGGCTCAGCTCTAAAGCAGGTAGGGAGGGCTCTGAAGTGAGTGCCTAGGTCTGACACTTAGAGGCTAACAACTCCTGACACATAGGCCCAATCTATACTAATGGGCTCTGGCCTTGGTTTCCCAGGCTGATGTGCCAGCTCCCTATGATATCTTCCCTGAGATCCTGACAACTAGCCTAAGACCACTCATAACAACGGCTACCATTTACTGCATGCTCACCGTGTTCCTGACGCTTTATGTATTTCCATCACGGCTCAGAATTACCATCCCTGTTTATGGATGAAGGGACTGATGCTCACACAACCAGGAAGCAACAGAGCCAGCAGTCAGACTCAGGACTAACAGGCAGACCTGTCTAGCTAGCTCTTACTCCCACTCTTCTTCTCCCAGTCCTCTCTCCTCTGAACCCAGGTCATGGGTCCCGCTGTGAGCAGATCTAGTCCTGGGAGGTCCTGCTGCTGCTACCTGACCTGGAGTGTTTCTTGCCGCTCAGTTCCCTCTGCTGTGTCTTGCCACGCAGACCAAGCATACTTGGAAGTGGCTGTGTGTCCACCAGGCCCACCTGGGCTCTGCCCCTCTGGTCACTATGATCCAGGCTGTCAGGTTCCCCGCAGAGGCCATTCTCATTGGTCAGGTTCCCAAGCCTCCACCCTGCCCATTCCTGGCTTTCCCCTCCTGCCAGGGCTACTGAGGATCCAGTCTGACCCCTGTGTAAGAGGACTGTGAGCACTCATCCCAACACTTCAGGAACAGGCCTCCCCCAGGAAGCAGGGTTATAACCACAGTGGGGAGTACCTGAGCACTGAGTTCCTTTTGCCTTTCTTGAGCCTCTTGCATGTCACGGTGCAGGGAGTTCAGCTCTTGCTGTCGAACAGAGTCAGCTTCTTGTAAAACAAGGAGTTTTTGTTCCTTTTCCACCAGTGACAGAGTCAGGCTAAGAAGAAAAGGGTCACAGGGCTGTCACACTCTCAAGGAGAAGAAACTACCTTCTTACCGTACTATTCTAAACATAGCATAAATAATTAAAATAGAAATACTAATGATAATGAGTATAGTGTCACAATACATGCTACCATTTACTGAGCACCTACTAAGTGTCACTTCATGCATGACACCTCATTTCAACTTCATAGGGTATTCTATGCTACATTCTACACGTACCTATGCATGTACTTTAAATTCAACATGACTAATCTTCATCCCGTGTAACTTCAACTCCCCACTCATCTCCTACCATGTTTCCTAGCTCAGAAATGGTACCTTCATCCTCAGTGTCCCAACATAGAAACTACGACCACAGCAGAACTCTCCTTTCATCCTGCCCACATCCAATCTGTGACTATATATAATTGATTCTAACTCTACATCCCTTAAACCCCTTCCTCCCTTCCCTTCTCCTCTACCTGCCTCAGCTCAGCATCCAGTATCTCTCATCTGGACACCTATACCAGCCTCCTGACTTGTCTTCTACCTGACACTGTCATCACCAAAAGATCTGTCCTTTCTCAAATTCCTGCAGCACTGAGAATGTATGCTGCTCTCCATTCTGTCGCCTGCTGTTTCATGCCATTAACTGTCTCTTCTAATACCTCATAAGCTGAATTATGTCAACTTCCCTGCTTGAAATCTTCCAGTGGTTTCCTACTAGATATAATCTACAAATTCCTTGCCATGGCCTACAGCTTCCTGAATGATAAGGACTTATCCAGTTCTCCTTGTTCACTATGCTTGTTACACCATACTCTGAGTTTCACCAAACATTTTAAGTTTTCATCTGCTCAGGGTCTCTGAGCATAATTTCTATTCCTACTGTATAGAACTTTCCTTTATCCTTTGGCACAGATAGCTCCATTTCATCCTTCAGTGCTTTATTTAAATAGTGTCATGAGACACTGTTGCCTTCACTAACAACTTTCTACAGTGGGTCTCCCCTCTCTCACTTCCATTTCAACACCGTATTTCTTTCCTCTACACTGTATGTCATAATCTGCACTAATGTGTTTGGAGAATTATTTGATTAAAGTCTTCCCCGTAAAACTATAAATTCTGTTGGGTCAGGGGCCACAATGTCTTGTTTATTACTATATCCCCCACTCTGAAAGTATCTGATGCATAATGGATGCTATTTACTAAATTAATTAAGTGTAAGCTTTGAAGACAGAGATCATGTCCTCTCCACATATACCTGTATCCTCCAGAACTGGAGACATGAAGATGAGGTGCAAAGAACTGTCAGAACTGTCAGCCAGAAAAGCAAAAACACCTCCATGGCTGTCTAGCCTACCTGGCTTTCTCCCTCTCCAGTTCCTTCTGAATTCGGCTACTCTCCTGGGCCTCTCTCAGCTTCTCTTGAACCTCCTGCTCCTCTAGTCTGTGGGAGTCATCCTGGGACACCAGCTGAGACCTCAAGTCCTCCACCTGAAAGATTAAGGGGATGTGGACCAGATGACAGGGCAGGGGAACAATGGGAGGATGCTTCTAGTAGAGCTTTAGGGTCCTGCAAGAACCACACTCAGTGGCTCATCTCTAAAGCTCTGGAGGTTCTTCCCACCAATTCCTAAACTATTCTTAGCCACCTCCTTTCCCAGTATCATTCAGACCGGGCCATCTGTCTCCCAGGCTCACAAATGCTGCACACAGGCAGATATAAATAAAATCTTGGCTAAAGAGCAAAAGTAAAATTATGGGAAAGTGTGTAGTGATTACATTTTTTTAAAATAAACAAACAAAAAAGATCAGAACATCATCTGATATAGGATTCTGATAAGAAAAATCAGACTGAATAAGAAAAGTAACCCCAAAACGGGATGGATTCAAACTAAAAAGGTTCTTCTCAGCAAAAGAAACAATCAGGTGAGTAAAGAGCCTACAGCTTGGGAGTGAATTTTTAACACTCGCACATCAGATAGAGCATTAATCTCTAGGGTAATAAAGAACTCAGAAAGCTAAACACCAAAAAAACCAAATAGCCAAATCAATAAATGGGACAAGAAACTGAACAAACACCTCTCAGAAGATGATATACAATCAATCAACGAATATATGAAAAAATGTTACACAGTTCTAGCAATTAGAGAAATGCAAATCAAAACTACTCTAAGATTTCATCTCGATCCAGTCAAAATGGCAGCTATTAAGAACACAAAGGGCTGGGGTTATGGCTCAGCAGTAGAGCGCTTGCCTAGTACGTGTGAGGCCCTGGGTTTAATCCTCAGCACCACATAAAAACAAATAAAATAAAGGTATTATGTCCATCTACACCTAAAAATTAAACAAAAAAAAAAAGAACACAAACAACAATAAGTGTTGGTGAGGAGGTGGGTAAAAAGACACATTCATACATTGCTGGTGAGACTGCAAATTAGTGCAGCCAATTATGGAAAACAGTATGGAGATTCCTTGGAAAGCTGGGAATGGAATCACCATTTGACTCAGCTATCCCTCTCCTCGGTCCATACCCAAAGGACTTTAAAAACAGCATACTACAGGGACACAGCCACATCAATGTTTATAGCAGCACAATTCACAATAGCTAAACTGTGGTACCAACCTAGATGCCCCTCAATAGATGAATGGATACAAAAAAAGTGGTATATATACACACAATGGAATATTACTCAGCAATAAAACAGAATAAAATCATGGCATTTGCAGGTAAATGGATGGAGTTGGAGAATATAATGCTAAGTGAAGTTAGCCAATCCCCCAAAAACCAAATGCCAAATGTTTTCTCTGATATAAAGAGACTGATTCATAGTGGGGTTGGGAGGGGGAGCATGGGAGGATTAGATGAACTCTAGAGGGCAATGGGGTGGGAGGGGGCATGGGGATAAAAAAGATGGTAGAATGAGATGGAGATCATCACCATAAGTACATGTTTAAAGACACGAATGGTGTTCACTCTACTGTGTACAACCAGAGACATGAAAAATTGTGCTGTATATGTGTAATATGAATTAAAATGCATTCTGCTGTCATATATAGCAAATTAGAATAAGAAAGAAAAGAATTCTAAAAAAATTAAGATATAATAATGTAACTATAGATATTTTTGTGTGTAACTCATCTTTTCAAAGTCTCTACAATAAATATATTTAAAAATAAAAAATAAAAAAATACATAGAGTTGAACAAAAAAAAAAAAAGAAAAAGAAAAGAAAGAAAGAAAAGCAACCTGATATATAACAACATTGGATTCAGGATGAGAATGGGAAGAACAATCAGAACTGGGACAGCCTGAGAAAAACCTAGCTTTGTTTAGATCACTTCAAAGAAAGAGTTACAGTGGTTACTCGCATCCTAGAATTAATAGACACCAAAATTTGCAGATGTTCAAGTCCCTTATATAAATTGCACCATGTTTTGAATATAACCTAGGCACACCCTTTCATAACATTTAAATCATCTTTAGATGACTTATCATCCTAATACAATGTAAATAGTTGTTATACTCTGTTTAGAGAAAGAGTTCTGTACACATGTGATACAGATGCAATTTTTTCCCAAACATGTGGAACCCATGGATATGGAAGGCCACTTGTACTACTCCAGGGCACCAAGAGACACATGCTTAGCTCTGAACACCCTTCAACTATCCACTTGGTACTGTGACCTATCCCTGTGCTCCTGAGCTCAGGCAGCAGGATGGAGAAGAGCAGGGACCTGCTTCTGTAGGTCTAGTTTGTCCTGCAGCAGGGTGCTACCCTCCTCCTGGAGGGCAGCAAGGTCATCTCTGTGCTGCTGTGCTGCCTCCTTCAGCTCCGACTGAGCCTCGCGGAGCTGGGACTGTAGCATCCCAGTGGTCTCCTGCAGAGGGAGAAGACATCAGGGAGTGTGACGTATACTTGAGCCTTTGTCCTGAAACCTGCATTGGATACATACGGACATTTTGTTTTTTTCTATTGGGTTGACAAAAGCTAAGGCAGATCCATGTCATTCCAGCAATCCATGTCTTTCCCACCTCAACTCCTTGCCTCCTTTTGCTCTCCTACTTCATACTGTGCACAGGGTCACCCAGGTTTCTGAGTCAGGGGCCCCGAGTTGGTAGTGGTTCATCACCCAGACCATACCAACAGCCTCCTGACTATCCCCCTACTTCACTTGATACCTCTATCTCCTATACACATACACACACACACACAAACGCACACGCACACACACATGTACACACACACTCTCTCCATTCTCTTTCTCCACTTGACTCAATGGAGAACTGTATCTAGAGATGTAGAGAGAATTTTATTCTGAGATGTAGCTCAATGGGTGAATGCTTGCCTAGCATGTTCAAGACCCTGGGTTCAATCCTCAACACTGCAAAAGAAAAAAAGGAAAAAAAATATGTACACACTCATACACACACATATAAAATCATGTCCCATACCTGCTTTCTAATTGCCATCCAACAGTTTCCTACTGCCTTTAAATGAAATCTAAGCTTCTACTCTGGCTGAGGTAGGGTTCCTGCCTACTTTTCCACTTGCCCCTGAGGACATCACATTGAAGCTACACTGCTTTCTGTCCTTGAACTTCCCAAGCCCTTTTCTGTCTGTCCTAGGGCCCTTCAGAAAGCTAAATCCTCTGAAGTATTCTCCAAATGTCTGGCTTCTTTCTTTTCTCTTTTTCTTTTTAAAGCCTTTACTGAGATAAAATTCACCTACCATTCAATTCACCTGTAAAAAGTATACCATTTCAACACCTGTAATCCCAGTGGCTGGGGAGGCTGAGACAGGAGGACTGCAAGTTCAAAGCCAGCCTCAGCACTGTCAAGGCACTAAGTAAGTCAGTGACACTCTATCTCTAAATAAAATACAAAATAGGGTTGGGGATGTGGCTCAGTGAGTGGTCAAGTGCCCCTGAGTTCAATCTCTGGTACCAAAAATAACAACAACAACAAAAACAAAAAAAACCCCACACATAACAAAAAGTATACCATTTCAGAAATTCAATATCTTCAACTGCTTGAATGGGATCCTAATTAGACATATTATACATTTGTACCCCATGTATGTATAAATGTATAATAAATCAAAATACACTCTACTGTCATGTAAATATAAAAAGAACAACAACAAAAAGTATGCCATTTCAGTGTTTTTGTTTATTTTGGTGCTGAGGATTGAACCCAAGAGCATTCTACCTTTTTTATTCTGAGATAGGGTCTAAGTTATTGAGGTTGGACTTGAACTTATGATTCTCCTGCTTCAGCCTCCTGAGAAGGTGGGATTACAGGTATGCACCACTATGCCCAGCCAATTTGGTAGTTTTTAGTATATTCAGAATTCTGAACTATCACCACAATTAAGTGCAGAACATTTTCATCACCCAATTACAGTCACTCCCCATTTGCCACCCTGACCCGACCACTAATCTGCATTCTGTCTCTGTAGATTTGACTGCTCTGGACATTTTATATTAATGGAAACATAATGTGGCCTCTTGTATCTGGCTTCTGTCACTTGGCATGTTTTTGAGGTTCTTCTGTGTTATACCATATATCTAACTTCTTTTGTGGGGGTATACTTGGGACTTAACTTGGGACTTAACACGGGGGCACTTTAAAACTGAGTCACATTCCCAGACCTTTTTAGTTTTTGTTTTTGAGACAGAGTCTCATTAAATTGCTTAGGGCTTTGCTAAAATGCTAAGGCTAGCATCGAACTTAGGGTCCTCCTGCCTCGCCTCCCAAGTGGCTGGGATTCTAGCTTCCTTTTTTTTTTTTTGGTGGGGGACAGGGGTACCAAGGATTGAACTCAGTGGCACTTGACATTGAGTCACATCCCAAGCCCTATTTTGTATTTTATTTAGAGATAGGGTCTCACTGAGTTGGCTGGCTTTGAACTCGTAATCCTCCTACCTGAGCCTCTGGGATGACAGGTGTGCATCACTGCGCCTGGTTTGGCTAGCTTCTTTTTAACCTTCAAGTCTCAGCTCAAATGTCATTTTCTTCTTCTTTTGTTTTTTTTTTAATATTTATTTTTTAGGTAGAGTCGGACACAATGCCTTTATTTTATTTATTTATTTTTATGTGGTGCTGAGGATGGAACCCAGGGCCTCACATGTGCTAGGTGAGCAATCTTCTGCTGAGCTACAACCCCAGCCCTTCATATGTCATTTTTTTTTTTAATATTTATTTATTTATTTATTTTTTAGTTTTCGGCAGGCACAACATCTTTGTTTGTATGTGGTGCTGAGGATTGAACCCGGGCTGCACGCATGCCAGGCGAGCGCGCTACCACTTGAGCCACATCCCCAGCCCTCATTTTTTTTTTTTTTTTTAATATTTATTTTTTAGTTGTAGTTGGACACAACACCTTTATTTTAATGTGGTGCTAAGGATCAAACCCAGGGCCTTGCACGTGCTAGGCGAATGCCCTATCACTGAGCCACACCCCAGCCCTCAAATGTGATTTTCTTAGTGAGGTCTTCCCTGCCCACCTTGTCCTAAGTGGCCTCCTTTGAACCACTCTCAATTACATCATTCTTTTTATTTCTATTGGAACACTTATTACAAACTAATTATAAAACAATCATATCATTTATTTTGTGTCTGCTCATTTCACATCTGTCCCTGCCACCACAGTGTAAGTTTCTTGTGGGCAGGGACCAGGTCTATCACATTGACCAATGAGCCACCCCTTTATGTACTTGTCACATGTCAGCCCATAGCCTAGTACTTAGTGCATAAGAAGTGCTAAAGTACTATTAGTTGTTGAATGGGTGAATGAACGCCTAAGACCACCCTCCATACCTGCTCTCTTAACTGCTGAACCTTCATGTCCTGCCTCAGCCGTTCCAGTTGTTGGCTGGCATCTGCCAGCTCCTTCTGGGTCCGTAGCAGTGTCTCAAGGAGGGACACTCTCTCCTTCTCTGTTTCCAGCTGCATCTGTGGAGAAGCAGAAAGGGCAAGGGTTATCATGCTCGCCCAGGAGGACAAAAGCACAGCCCAGCTGCTGCTCTAGGGCCCCTCCAGCAAATGGGGTGGGGGCTGATGGCAAAGGAAGGTCTGAGCCCACTGACTGAGAACCAGGAAGTGTGAAGGTAGCCACTGGTTTGCAAGCTGACAGGATGTGGTAAATGTCAGCCCTCCTTCAGGAAGTACGACATACTGAAGCCCTGCAGCTAACAGTGTAGAACACCCCACTCGCTGGCAACTAAGTGGGTACTACATTCTCTTCTGGAAGCCCTTCTATAGCTTGTTCTAAGGACAGCAAAAGAAAATAGTTGGGGTCACCAATGGTAATGGATGTGCCACTCCAGTTGTCCTAGCTTCCCACCTGGCAGAGGGCACTCTCTGCCTGGGTCCGTTCCTCTTCCCTCTGTGCCTGGATGGCTTCAGTTTCTGTTTGTTTCTCCCTCAGCCTTATTTGCAGCTCCATTCTTTCTCTCTCTAGGCTCTCCAGGGCCTTATTCAGCTCCTTCTGAAGCCGGAAGTGCTCTTTCTCCTGGCCATGCAAAGGAAATGCTGTTAGAACCGAATGGGTGGGGAGAGAAGGCAAAAGAACTGGTTTGAAAGTAGAATCTCTCTACTACTAGCTACGTGAGCCCGATACCCCGCTAAGCCTGTTTCCTCAACTTAAAGTAATGCTTAATAATCTGCCTTATCTGTCTCACTAAAATTTTGCAGTCAAATGAGATTTATTAAAAAAAATCAAATAAGGTGAGAAAGGATGTGGGGAAAGGTGTCATGGCTAGGGAAGGTAAGTATCAAGAAAACAATGCTAGTGTGGCATGAGGATAGGGCACAGGGTCAGGTGAGGGATCACAGTAGGGGGAAGGTCCAGGGTGAGAAGAGTTAGTGAGGTGAGGAGAGATCTCAAGGTTGTGGCAACATTGTGCACTGCCCCACTATGTCCCCTGCCAGCCTTGTGTGGCCAAGATTCCGAGTCCTGCAGGTGCAGTAGGCAATACTAGCAGGCTACTGACACTGTGCAGGCTGTGGGCAGTCTATGATTTCTAGGAGTGCACCTGGCCGGTTTGTCTTGAATGAGTTCAGAGGGTAGGTAAGAGCCAGGCAAGTGACCACTTCTTTCATCAAAAGCTGGTAAATACAGTGGGCACTATGCTCAGCATGCTGGTGAGCCCACCCAAGTTGGGAGGCTGGCTTTGAACTCATGATCCTCCCACCTCAGCCTCCCAACTTGCTGGGATTACAGGTATGTTCCACCGTGCCCAGCTATTAACTCATTTAATACCTAGAAGTTATTTATACCATGCTGTCCAAACCACTCCTGTAAGCAGTAACACCTAGACCAAGCGTCAGCAGGTGGTGCCCTTTCACAGAAGGGAAATCACGTCTGCCTCTCCCAACCCCAGCCACATTCACCACCTACCCATTTCTCCTGAAGCTGTTTGACCTCCTCCTCATGGGCCACCTTCTGCTGCTCCAGGGCCATCTGCCCATCTTGCTCAGCCTGGGCCAACTTTCTGGCTGCTCTCTCCCGCTCCTGCTCTGCTTGGCTCCGTTCAGTTTCCAGTTCTAGCTTCAAGCACCTCACTTCCCCTAGGATTCCAGAAAGAGGATCAGCTCTCTGAGCCTCTGCCCCTGCTCCTTTTACCTAATAATATTCTTCTGCTCCCCATGAACCTTATGAGCAACTCCCATCTCAAAGGCCCTGCGCTGGCTGGAGAAAAGCTTTAATAGCATCCCACTGCATTCCTGACTTTCACCATCCCCATGGATAGAGTACGCCCCATCCCATTTGGATTCTCACCTTGGACTGCTTCCTTGGCTTGAGTGACAGTTTGAATCTGGACCTCTAGCTGTCCCTTGGTGACCTCTATCACAGAATTTTGTTGTTGGGCCTCAAACAGATTGTTCTCCAGCTGTTCCTTGGCCGAGCTGTGAAGTTTAGGATACAGGAAGAGATCTTACCCATCAATGCCCTTACCTTTCCTTAAAAGGAGTGGAGTTCTAAGTACTGGCTACCTGGAGAAGTTAGTGGGGGCAATTATAAATTCATAATTCACTTGGAAGTCATATACTTAGGGCACAGAAGTTAGCTTGGCTACCCTTTGCCTTGTGAAGCTCTCTAAGCGTGGCTGAACTGGATCAAAGCCTTACCTAAGCCCCATAAGTTGTTCAACAAGGTCCTGGCGGTCTCTCTCCACAGCCTGCAGCCGCACCTCTAGAGCAGCCTTCTCTCTTACTAGAGACTCTTTCTCCTGGACTGCCCTGGCAAGCACTTCTTCCTGTCGCTTTGCTTCCTGATGCAGCTGTTCAAGCTGAACTGTAGCTGCCTCCTGCTGGTAAAGTACCTGAGGGGAAGAAATTAGTGAGATATAGAGTAGAGGCAAAATTCCCCTGGTCGGCTAATACCAGGTTAGGGCCATTGGCGCTTCAGAGATTCTGGGCCCAGCACTGTAAATCTGAATGTTGCTCACTTAATAACACTGGCATTTATCTATTTCCCTGAGCAACCCAGAGAGCCCCAGCCCTGAAAGGATGCTCTTTTATGAGCAAGACTCTCTGCTGGGGACAGAAGACCTGCACATAAGAACTTTTAGTTTTCAGAAATAGGATGCATATAATACCAGGAAGAAAGTGACCAGTGACCTGTGGAAGGGATTCTGAAATGGAAGATTATGTATAATTATTATGAGAGGCTTGGTGAAGGAAAAAGATGACCTTTGGGCCAGGTCATTCATTGGTTCAAGAAATAAATGTACTGATTAGCCTTGTTATGTGTTCAGCGCTGAGCTAACAGCCAAAGGAATACAATAATAAGACACAGCCTTGCCTGACGGACATGGAAACAGATAACTGTAGTATGAATGGTGCAGATGTTGAAATAAGCATGAGGTGTTGGCAGAACATATAGGAGAAGCATCTAATTCAAACTGGTGGGTAGGAAGAAGTAAGGAATCAGCAGATTCTTGTAGGAATTACTTTAAAAAATAGGAAGATAGACCACAAACAAGTAACACGGGTCATTTCTAGGAAATAAGACTTTCCCTGAGTCATTTTCATCATGTTTTATTTTTTACAATGAGTAGTATCTTAATTAATGGTGTCCACTGTATAACTGTCTTCTCACCTCATTTAATTTCTCTTTAATTTCTTCCTTTTCTTCTTGGATGCTCCTGAGCTCTGCCTGTAGCTCAGCTCCAGTCTCTGTAGCTTTCTGCAGCTGAGCCTCCAGGTGAGTTTTCTTTTCCCACAGTGCTTCCTTGCTCCTCTCTACCTCTGCCAGGTCTACCTGCAAAGCATTTCTCGCCTGCTCTGCCACCTCTACTCTGCTGCACACAGACTGGTTGTCATGCTCCAACTACTGGCCAAAAAGGAAAGGGGGTACATGTCATCAAAGACAAGTGGTTAGAGTTTCCCTAACGGGTCTCAAGTGCTGAAAACCAAAATCCAAGTGAGATGTGAATCTATTCTCCAAAAATGAAGATGGGGGAAAATCTATTCATTTGATCTGGTGCTTGTATTTTAAGTACAGGATAGGCTGGATGCTGGAGATGGAGATTAAAAAAAGGGCAAAATTCCGTTCTCAAATAATTCAGAATAATAGAACAGAATATTTCTGGAGCTCAAGAGAACAGGGGGAGTAAGTATGGTCCTTTGCTAAAATTATAGGTTAAATTTATAACCTGTAGAGATTTTGGAGGATTTAGGCTCTTTGGTGGATTATTTTCTAGTGATTGCCAATATTTCACCTAATAGGATTAAAAACCTGGTCTTGCTTCCAGAGGACATCAATCCCTTCCCAGTTCTGATGACTCTCTCTAAAGCCTATACAAAGGTGGTTCTGCTAAAAGTGTGGGACAGGAGTATTTCTAATTCTCAAATCTAATCCTTTGCTCTCCAGTGTACAGTAAATGTTCCTTTTGTTCATTTCAGAACTGTTTGATGCCAGGCATGGAGGTGCACATCTATAATCCCAGCTGCTAGGGAGGCTGAGGCAGGAGGATCTCAAGTTTGAGGTCAGTCTCAGCAATTTATCAAGAACCTGTCTCAAAATAAAAAAGGCTGGGGGTATAGATCTGTGGTAGAGTGCCCCAGTACCAGGAAAAAAAAAGAAAAAAGAAAGAAAGAAACAAAACTACATTTGGGAGCTAATCCCTTAAGGAGTCTGCCCTAATATGGGCATCAGCTTTGCTTGTCACTGGCATCTCAGTCCGGTTCCAGCCCTTCATGGAGATCAGACAAATCTCTGCTCACCTGGAGAAGCTGTTGGTTCAGTCCAACTTTATCTAACGCCAAAGCCTCATTTAAGGCACTGAGCTTGACAGTTGCAGCCCGAAGATCGGCAACCTCTGCCTTCAAGCTGTTCTCAGAACTTGAAAGCTCTGCAATGGATTGTTCTGCCTACAAATCAAAGAGGGTTAAAGCGTTTCCCATTCCTAGTTTTCTTAAAACTGTAAACAGTTCACATTCCCAACACCTGCTGCTTTTGGTGCAAATATCAGTTAGCACTCCATCCCTTCCCCTACATTCTAAACAAGTTTTCCCTTTGCCCATTTATTCCTTCATTGAGGTGTAAGACAGGAGCTCACAGCATAGAGGCACAGACATAATGAACAAGCACAATTGTGAGGACACCATAGAAATATAGACCCAAAGTGCTCTGGGGAACTCAAAGAAGTCATTCATTCAATTTGGAAGAGTCAAAAATGCTTGGTAGAGGAGTTAACAATTAAGTTGGGTATTGAGAGATGAGGAACAGTTCCTGGTTAAAGGGGAAGGAAAGAAGCAGTCCAGGCAGAGGAAAAAGCATATGCAGAATACTAGGGTCAAGAAGGAACATAACAAAACTGAGAATGCAACTAATGCTACATGGAGCAAAGGACAACAGGGGTTAGGGTGGGTTTGGAGTGGACAGGGAGGCTAGACACACAGTTTGAGGCAGATGGCAAGTCTTTGAATGCAGCTCCAGAGCTGGGAAGCCACTGAATGGTTTTAAAAGGCTGACATAACCATCATCTAATTCCAACATAGAGGGTACATTCAGAGGGAGAGAACCCAGAAGCAGGCTAGGAATGGAGGAAAGAAACCCAAGGGTCACAGCTTAAAGGGCAAAGAGAATGAGGCAGCTACATGCCCTTTTTCTGGGAACCCAACTTCCTAAGCCATCCACCCAGTAAGTAAAGAGGAGGCCTACACACCCTGGCCAGTGCTGCTGCCATTTCCGCTTGCTCTTGCCTCAGTAACTCCCCTTCCAGGCGACTTGACTCCAAAGCTTCCCGAAGTGTGATTAGCTCACTGAGTGATTCTGACTGCTTGGCTTCTAAGCCCACCAGTGTTTCCTGACTGAGAAATGAAGAAGATGGGGCTAGAGTAAGTCTTTGGAAGTGGTCACCCAAAAGGTAACATGAATATAATTACATTTTCTATGCAAAAGAATGAGAAAAGTCTCCAAAAACTGATAAGAAATGATCTCTAATATGCTAAGTAAAAAAAGTCAGATGAAGAACAGTACACATGTGCATTTTTTTGGGGGGGTACTGGGGGTTGAACTCAGGGGCGCTCAAACACTGAGCCACATCCCCAGTCCTATTTTGCATTCTATTTAAAGACAGGGTCTCACTGAGTTGCTAAGTGCCTTGCCAATGCTGAGGCGGCTTTGAACTTGCAATCCTCCTGCTCAGCCTCCCAAGCCACTGGGATTACAGGTGTGCACCAATGTGCCTGGCACATGTGCATTTTTTATATAATATATATATGCAAAATGTATACATTTCTTTATGCAAAAAAAGTGAGAGAAAGAAGAATCTATGCTTATGTTTGCATGAAGTAGCATGGGAAAGATAAACAAGAAATTAATTTAAATAGTTTAGAGGAGGAAGGGAAACAAGATGTAGAAAGCAAAGATGGAAGTAAGACTTCATGTGTCTATCTTTTGTAAATCTTTTAAAATTCCTTTTGAATCATATAACTATGTCATCAAGTCAGGTAAGATAAGTTTTAAAAATATAACTATTTGCAGATTGTCTGCCTTCTACTTGGTGCAGGGGAGATCCTTCCTAGGACAGGGCATGACCCTTTTGGCAGTCTTTCAAGTTTCTACTCTTCATGCCCACTAGTTGCAAAGAACTAGGATACAGAAGAGGAGGGGAATATACCAAGGGTGAAGAAAAGATAACCCTGCTACCAGTTATTCAAGATCTACTGTATGCTAGGCTCTATGCTGGCATTTTCTAAAACACTTTTTCCATTAATTCTTCAAGGTAAATAGTCTTATCCCCATTTTACAAATAATCTGTCCGTGGCAGATCCAGAATCTAAACCAAGCTTTCATTCAGCTCTAAAGTCCCTGTTCCTTGTGCAACATCATATAAGAGAATTCATAGATTTAATATTGACTCTCGAATTCCCTTCTTGAAAGCAAAGTTTATTTCCTGTTACTTCTCTGCTCATCTGTTAGCATCCCAGCCTACTCTGAAAATGCCATGAACATTCTTGCCTCCTTTTCTTTGCTATACTGTTCCTTTAGCCTCTCTCCTATTCACTATCAAAATAGGTCAAGGTCCCACTCAAACCATCTCCTACTCCTTAAAGCTCTTCCTGGTTCTCAATAATTAACTGTTACTCCTATGCTACAAAAGGAACAGGTTCGAAGGCCTATTTATACTTATACTTCATCTACTCTCATTTTACAGTTGTTTACTTGTGTCTTCTCCATTATTGCAAGTTTCTTGAGATGAGGTTATCTGTAATTCATTTTTATATTCCTCACAGTGCCTCATCTCTATGGGTGCTCAACAAAGTCTGGATGCACTTTGTGTATTCATCTTTCTGCAAAGGAAAGTAGTAAGCTAATTTTACCCATTCTGTGCCAGGCTTCTAGACAGTCCACTTTCTAAAATAGAGGAGCAGGTGGGGGAGGGTGTGGAACTAAAGGAAGGCCAGAGAGGAAGAGACTGGTCACACTTACAGACGCTCCCTCTCCCGAACAGCCAGGTGCAACTCTTCCTGCTGCTCCTCCTTCTCCCCCTGGGCAGAGTCACCCTGCAGCTGTAGCTCCATATTTGCCCTTCGGAGCCGCCATGCTTCCTGTTCCAGCACCTCTAGTTGCTGCTGCAGCTCTTCCCTGGCCTTCTGCAGGAGCTCTCGCTCCCTGGAACGAAGAAACCAGAAATGAGCAGATCTTGGGACCTAAAATCCTTGCTGGAAGCAGACATCACAAGGTCAAAGGAGAACATTCCATCTTTCCTTTTGAGCAGGAAACTGTTTTTTAATCATTTCAAAACACAAAAACCCAAAAGCTTGTTAAATAGAACACAAAGCAAAGCAGCCCTGGATCTCAGGGATGACAGGAGGAGCTGACAAAAGATATAATGGGTACTGGTAAATGGGTGTGGATGAGGACAGAGACCAGACATGGGAGTAGGGATGAACAGCCCATCTGCTCACTTGCTGAGAGTGTCCACCTCGCCCTGGAGGCCCACAGTCTGTCCTGCCAGAGCATCCCGCTCCCCAGAGAGCTTCTGCAGCCGCTGCCTCAGGGCTTTGCCCTCTTCCTCCCACTGATCGTGCTGCTGCTTCAAGAAGCTCATTGCTTCCTGGCAGCCTGAAAGCTGCTGCCTTAGGTCCTGTGGAGGGACAGCAGTAGAAACGAGATGATAAGCAAGAGGGCAAGGGCAAAGGAGGGATTTCAGAAGTCTGAAAGTCCATTTGGACATGAGGTTAGGCACTGGTACAAGGGCAAGCTGGGAATAGAGATGTGACTGGTTGAAAAGTCAGAGGACAAGGGGTTATTTGCTTTTGGAGCTCTAGAGTGTTAAGAGTTCATCATCTTCAAAAGTACAGTGGCATGGGGGGATGGCAAGTGTGCCTAGGTCCCTCAGATTGGGGGAACTCATACCCATACCCTACCATAGCTCTTTTCATAGTAATAAACACTGTTGTACAATGTGAAGTTGCCACAGGCATGGAGAATCAGCCTGTTACCCACAGTATAACTGGGAAGACATGGAGAAATTCTAAGAAGCACTCTGGGGTGTTGAATAGACACCTCATGACTGGTCCACTGAAAGGGATAGTCCACGCTAGGGAGGTACTTGGGGCATCTGTCAGTTTAGCTGCCACGTTATTGACTGAGGAACACTAGGGAGCCTCACCTGCACAGCCTGGTGTTTCTGAGTCAGCACTGAACGCACCAGAGTAAGAGCTTTGTCTGGATCCTGGGAATCAAAGTGGGAGGAGAAGCCACTAGAGTCCAATTTCAAAGAGCTCTCATGACCAGAGCCTTGGCCAGTGTTGTCCCCTTCTTCCACCAAGGCCTGAAAACCAACACAACACTGTTACCACCCTACTGACTGAAGCCTGGAGTCCATGCAGGAGCTTAGCTCACACTACAGCCAGAAGAATCTGAGGTTTTCCTTCTCAGGTCCTTTCCCTGAGGGTTAGAGTAGGTATCTGAGAGAAAAAAAGGCTCATTTCTTCAACACTCCACCTGTGGTCACCCAAATCTAAGACTAGCAACAAGGCCAGAACATTCTCTGAGATAATAATAAATAAGGGAACAAAGGAAGAAGAGGCTATTGAAGTGACAAAAGACCAGAATCTATTCTCTGGCTTGAGAATTGCAGCTGGTGACAGTAAAGAGGTCCTGTCCCACCACATAGTGCCAGGATATGAATGCTTACCTATCCCTTAAGGATCTCATCTTCAAATATAGAGCATTCATCCCACAAGACCCTAAGTCCAAACCTCAAGAGACTGGAAATCTAGGCATGTGAGAGGACATGGAAGACTGGGGAGAGGAATGAAGCATTACCTAGGTACCATGACAGCAGGCTTACCAGTACCTGTGTTATCTCCTTGATCACCAGCTGTAAAGACAACTTCTCCTCTTGGGCATTCCTACTAAGAGATGCCTCATGTTCCATTAATTCTGTGTGATTTGACTCCTGCATAAAGAATAGAATAGAGGGCTGGGGCTGTAGCTCCATGGTAGAGTGCTTGCCTTGCACGTGTGAGGCCCTGGGTTTGATCCTCAGCACCACATAAAAATAAATAAACAAATAAATAAAATTAAAGATATTGTGTCCAACTACAACTAAAAAAATTACAATAAAAAATATAAAAAAAGAGTAGAGCCTAAGAGCCAAACTCTCAAAAAATAATTTGTAATTACAGACCCCAAATCAGCCAAAGTCTTATTCTGCTCATTCTGTCAACCACACTTTTCCAAGAAGTCCGAAGACAATGCAATGTGATGATAAAAAGTTCAGATGAAGCGATTAAAAGCTCCAAATTAGCCTGCCCAGGTTAGGGTTCTTGCTCTATCACTTACTAGGTTGGTAACTTTCGGCAATTTCTTCTTTGAACTTTTCTCTTAAAAATAGGAAAATTAACAGCAACTATTTCCATAAGTTGTTTTGGAGTCTTAAATTAAAAGCTGCACATAAATTCTACAACATCGTGCTGATACAAAGCGAACACTCAACAGATGTCAGCTATTATTGGATGGGGGATGGCCGCTGCCTCCAAATAGTAAATCGATGCCAGAGAGCCATGGCTATAAACCAGCTCTAGCCCCAAAGCTAGTAATAATCTTGAAGACTCAAGATTTCCTCTCTTCCTACTGCACTTATGTTAGGCTTGAAAACACAGACCTGTAGTAATGTTTTATTTAGCCAAAATTTGAATCAACACGTGTAAAGGGAGAGACTTTGCAAAAAGTCTGAAGTTCTGGCTTCTCTCAAAAAAGTTAAAAATGAGCTTCACCCAGCCCCCATTCCTAGATGATAATTATTTATTGAAGTTGAACAATGGATACCTCCTCAAGATGAGACATTTATTTGGGGTCTTTCATTCCTTGCCACTCCTCACTGTTTCCTTAGTACTGAACTCAAGTTTCCCCTGCTTTACTGAAAACTAAACAAGATAGCATTGGAAAACAAGAAGTATTGCAACTCATCCACTTCATTCACTTACTTCTAAGCCCCATGGATGTCTGAACAGGCAAATTCTTGACAAAAAGAAATCAAGAGGGCTGGGGTTATGGCTCAGCAGTAGAGGGCTTGCCTAGCATGTTGAGACTGGGTTCAAGTCTCAACACCGCATATAAATAAAATAAAATAAAATAAAGGTCCATTGACAACTAAAAAAAATATTAAAAAAAAAAAAAAGAAAGAAATCAAGAAAACACAAACAAGTCCAGCTCCCAGGTGACCCCAGTCTGGATGAAAAAATTAGGGGTGTGAATACAGACAGGGGTTCAGGAGCTGCTGAAAATCAGAAATCTGAAAATTCATAGAAATAAAGGAAAATATGGAATCAAGCCAGAGGTTCTAACATGCAACTTTAAAGAACTTCTTTAATAACATCCCTGTCACATGTTAAGTCAGTAATCAAAGCTTTGCTCCTTTAATAAGACAGACCATTCAATGGGGTTGGGATTGTGGCTCAGTGGTAGAGCGCTTGCCTGATATGTAGGAGGCACTGGGTTTGATTCTCAGCACCAGGTATAAGAAAATGAATAAAATAAAGGTCTGTCAACAACTGAAAAAATATTAAAAAAAAAAAAAAAAGATAGACCATTCAAGTAGTTCTAGCTGTGAGCCAAACCTCCTACCCTATGATATCTAACCTCTGATGTTGGTTTTGCCCTGGAAAACATTAAATGCATCAATCTTTTTCCCCCAGTGTCAGACTTCCATGTGTGAAGACAGACACCCTGACTTCTTCAAGTCCTTTTGTTCCAGGCTAAAAATTGCCATATTCCTCATTTATTCCCCAGGTAACCTGCTAATTTGACATTGTGTCTCTTAAAGTATATGCTACTTCTCTCTGAAAAGAACACATGGCATCCATATGCCATTATAATTTTCCCAGGAAAACAGTTGAGATAGTGAACAGTTAATAATATTTTTTGAATGAATAAATTCATGGGTTTATTGTCAGATTCAATCAAAATATATTTTTTTGGCTTTGGAGAACTTCATTAAGAAACATTTCGTGGGGCTGGGGATGTGGCTCAAGCGGTAGCGCGCTCGCCTGGCATGCGTGCGGCCCAGGTTCGATCCTCAGCACCACATACAAACAGAGATGCTGTGTCCGCCGAGAACTAAAAAAATAAATAAATAAATATAAAAAAAAAAAAAAAAGAAAAGAAACATTTCGTGGTAGTCTATACTACCTGTTTATAAAGGAGGAAGGAACCTACAAGCCCACTCCCAATTCTTTTCCAGAACAAAGGATTATGTACCAGGATCTCCATTGTCTCTCTCAGAGCCTTTAGCATTTTTTCATAATCTTCATTTTGCTTCTGAGAATGGGCCAGCAAAGCAGAGAGCTCGGTCACTCTAACGAGAAGAGCACAGCACTGTCACTTAGGCATCCCATGGAGCAGGTAAAGCTACTATGCAGCACACCCCAGCCCCAAAAGACACTTCCACTGCAGCCCCTCAGAATCCCTTGGGCACTCCCTGAATACCATGTGAAGCTACTAGCTTTGAACTGGGAGCAGGAAGCCAAAAGCCACTCAAACACATGCAGGGATTTACCACATCTCAAGGCTGGAACTTGTGTTTGGGGGCCAAGAGCTGAAGGAAAGCCCTGGCCCAGGCCCTTCCAGGCCTCGCTTGATCTTGAAGTCAAGCACCCTGAAGCCAATAAGAATATCGAAATTGACACATGGGATAGTCCCAAGTCCCTCCAGCCCAAGGTTCTGACTCTGATAGGGAAAAAGAAGGGGTGATTCGGATAGAATATGGTCAATCTCCCTGATATTACTCTAAAGTCAGTGACATCTTTATTGCTTAACACTATATCATGGAGCTTAGTGCCTGGCATCATGTGGGTGGCTAAACAAGTATTTCTTTTTTTTTGCCAGGGGGTGGGGATGGGGTGTACTGGGATGGAACTCAGGAGGCACTTAACCATTGAGCCACATCTCCAACCATTATTTTGTATTTTATTTAGAGGTCTCACTGAGTTGCTTAGTGCCTTGCTAAATTGCTGAGGCTGGCTTTGAACTAGTGATCCTTCTGCCTCAGTCTCCCAAGCTGCTGGAACTATAGGCATGAGCCACTGCACCCGTCCACAAGTATTTCTTAAGTGAATATTATTCAGGGGTTTAAATATTTTTATAAAAAATCTTAATAATTATATCATGTACCAATTCCAAGAGCCCAACTCACCACATGGTCATTCATTTAATTATTGTATCATTCAACAAACATTTATTTAGTGTCTACTATATGGAGATAAGTGCAAAGCACTAGAGACATAAAATTTTTGCCCTTCTTATCCTCATTTAAAAATCCCATTTCATGCCTGGCATGGTGGCACACGCCTGTAATCCCGCCTGCTAGGGAGGCTGAGGCAGGAGGATTGAGAGTTCAAAGCCAGCCTTAGCAAAAAGCGAGGCACTAGGCAACTCAGTGAGATCCTGCGTATAAATAAAGTACAAAAAATAGGGCTGGGGATGTGTCTCAGTGATACAATGCCCTTGAATTCAATACTCAATACCAAAAAAATAAAAATCCCACTTCATTATAAACCCAGAATTAAAATACTCGTGTTATTGTGGTAAAGCATTTGCCTAACACACACAAAGGCCATGGGTTCAATCCCCAGGCACCGCAAAAATAAAAAATCAGCAAGAAACTAAATAATTAATGGAATACAATGAGATCAATGCTGTAACAAGCAGGCCAAAAGACCACAGGGACAAAGTAACATAACAGACTACTAAATTCACAGAAGGTTTTGTAGAAGAGGTGACATGTGATCTATGCTTTAGAGGATAAAGCAGAGGGGAAGGGAGGGTGGCATTCCAGGCCAAGGTCAACATATACAAAGGCAGAGAAACATGGAAGAACTGGTAATTCTGGGTATGGCAAATAGTTTGGTATTGATAGAGGACAGAGTCACAGCTAGCTATACAAATCTACACGAGAAAAACTGAGCTACAAGGTAATCTGAGGGCAGAGGTCAGTGAAAGCCCCAACTACGGCACTGGGTTTCAAACTAGACTATCCCAGCACATCTATTTTCCCTCTCATGGTAGGAACACTCTTGGTTTCTCTCCTGCCTTTCCATAACTCTCGAATGAGTCAGTTTTCCCTCAAGGAGCCTTTCCTGGGACCTCAGGCCATCTCACCGATCCTGAAGTTCAGCTTTCTCCAGATCCCCTTGGCTCTTGAGTTGTATTAACTCCTGGCTCTTCTCATGGGCTTCCTTCTCTAGCTCCTGAGTCTTGGCTAGTAGGAGCAGCAGCTGGGGTGGCTCACTCTTGTCCGTTTTCCCAGATCTACTGGATTCCCGAGACTGTGTTCCCACGGTCAAGCGCAGACAACAGGTCAGCAGGGACCCTGAAAGCCTCGCGTGTTCAGCCTTTAGCTCTGTCAGATCTCTGAGTACAAGCAAGGAAAAGAGCAGACTCCAATAGGAACCAAGGGAACTTGGAGATCAGGCCCAATAAGCCTGAGGGGCAGGTATGTGAAAAAAATCACCTGAAATGAACAATAGCACCCCCCATCTTCACCTGATTCCCCTTCTACAGCAGCCCACTGCCTTAAGTTCAGAATCAATAGGGGCAAACCTCCTCCCTTCTTATTCCCACACTGACCTGTCAGTTGCTGACTTCATTTCCAGGAAGTGGCGTCGGAAGGTCACTACCTCCCGCCATAGATTGAGAAGGCGACCATGTTCCCCCTTCAGATAGCCCTTGAAGAACTGTGTGTTCAGAAACCTGGGTCATACCCAAGGGCAGAGTACTATCTTTTGCCAGTATAAGAGTCTTGAATTACTCCTGACTACTAGGGTGAAAGAAGGGACTTTAAGGACAAACGACATCGGATGGTAAGCAGTCTTTCCCTCAGCTAGATTAGAAAAGGAGATGCAGTGGCTGCTTAGATGGGGGCTATTATCATAAACTTATAAGGAGAAGTAAGTGATCTAACATATGTAAGTCACCTTGCATACAGCAAGGGCTCAAGAAACATTGGTTTCCTTTAGCTGGAACCTGAAAATTCTTCAGGATCTCTGTCTTTTCTTTTCCATGCAACTTCGTAACCACCTTCATGGCATCTAGCTATGCAGATCTCCAGCTGAAGGGGACCAGTAAACCTTCAGATCCATTTGAAATCAAAGCTAGTCACTTCTGCAAGAAGAGAGTGCTTTGAGTATCATGCCACCAGCAAGACCTAGACTAGGTAGGTAACGCAGAACTAAGAAAGCCTAACAGAGCAGAGCTGCTAGCACAGGCCTGGCTAGCATGGGCAAAGCCGTCTGCATGGGTAAGGATAGTCAGAGGCTTTAATGACAACAGTTTCCATCCATTTTCTGAAGTTAATCCTTTCCAGCACTGACCAGGGCAGCACTCAGTATGCACAGCCCTCTTCTCTCAGTTCTGCTCTCTGTCCTTCCTACCTCCTGCTCCATCCGCCACTGGCTCTCCTTCCTTATTAGCTCATCCCGGGCCCGACTCCAGTCCACTGTCAATTTTTCCATGTCTTCCCGAAGGGCTTTATTCACCACGTCAGCTTTTTCCATGTGCAGTCGAAGCTGAGTATTCACTTCTGCTAGACTCTCACACCTGCACTGGGGAGGGGAAAGAGCAAATGCAAATAAAGGTCTGTGCCACCCCTTAGACCTCTTGAGAGTGAGATGACAATGACTGGAATTTTCCATTGCCAGGATGGTTCTAATCCATATTAGCCCTCAGGACAGTTTTTTCATCAGACTTCTCCACCCACTGGCCAAACACTCAGGTCAGAAAATATGGGGTCCATCACCTCTGTTGCTCCTCGTCCAATCGGATTAGCAGCTGTTCCAGGTTTGGCTCTTCCACACTTTCCCAAGGCAGAGGAATCGGCCCCTTTGCCAGACAGAAACAAGCCTTATTCACTTCCAAAGAGAACATCACTCAAGCCAATTCCCTGAGGCCTCTTTCCATAGCAGCACACTTTCTTTTTATTCTTTCTCCCGCGATAGCAATTTCCTTTCTTTTCTCAATCACTATGTCCTGGAAGCAAATCCACTGCATCCCTCTTTCCAAAAATGAACCAATAACCTCCTCTGAAAGATGGAATTTGGTTTTAAAAAGAACCTTGAACCTAAGAAGCATAAGATTATTGTTCACTAATGGCCTTGATTTTTACTATAATAATTTTTGGACCTTGTAAAGTCACTTAACTTCTTGGTGCTACAGTGTCTTCAGCTACAAAATGAAAGTAATATCACTCTTCTGAGAAAGTTCTTTTGTGGACTAAGTGACATAATTATACCACAATCTTTGCCCTACCTGCAAAGAAGGTACTCAATATGTTTTGGTTCTTTCCTTCCTGCAACAGAACTTTTCTGAGAATGTGATCAGGTGCCTGAGGGAGCTGGAACTAAGACAAATGGGTCTTTCAAAGCCAATTCTGCCCAGCCAAGATACAAATAGATCCCTCTAGAGTAGACATGCGTTGTAGGTCTTAGAGGAACACCTCTCCTACCACAGAGAAACAATGACACCTGCTGGATAAAGGATGCATTTCCTCCCTCTAGTTCCACTTGCCCACTGGGCTAAGTCCCCTGATATTGCATTGGTCCTTAGAAAACCAAGGGATGGACTCTCATAGACCAGCCATAGCAAGGTCCAAGGAAGACTGCTGTTGACAGAACTTTCAGAGGCTGAAGAGAGACCTCTAGCATACACCCCTTATCATATCCCGGCCACCCTCAGAAAATAAAGCCTAATAAGTACATTTACTGAGGGCTCAAGGGGAACATGGAACTCAGCCTCACTTACTCCAGTGGCTTCCAGTCGCTTCTCCAGTTCTTGGCACCAGCTCCGGTACTGCAAAACCTAAGGCAAAGACAGCACACTCTAGGCAATGGACACAACTGGTACAAAAACTCCAAACCAAAGTTCCCTCATAATTTGGGCAACCTGCAGTGAACAGGAGAACTGGGTGGTGATGGTGGGATAAGGCCGTGACATCTTAAAGTTTCTATTTGTCTATTTGGATATAAAAAGAATATTTTCAATATGCCTCTTACATCAGAAAAACAAAACCATAAATCTTAGGGTCAGATCTCAGCTCTAGACAAGAACAAGCCTGGACAACTAATTATGTGTGTGTGTGTGTGTGTGTGTGTGTGTGGTGCTGGGGATAGAACTCAGGGCCTTGTATATGCGAGGCAAGCACTCTACCAACTGAGCTATATATCCCCAGCTCCTGGGCAACTAATTAAAAAAAAATTTTTTTTTTAGTTGTAGATAAACACAATACCTTTATTTTATTTATTTATCTTTATGTGGAGCTGAGGATCGAACCCAAGGCCTCACACATGCTAGGCAAGTGCTCTACCACTGAGGAACAACCCCAGCCCCTGGGCAACTAATTTAACCCTTATAAATGCCACCTTTTTTGTCTCCTGGTACTGGGGATTGAACCCAGGGGTGATCTACCACTGAGTTACACCTCCAGCTCTTTTTATTTTTCATTTTGAGATATGACCTTATTAAGTTGCCTAGGCTGGCCTCAAACTTGTGATACTCCTATCTCATCCTCCCAACTAGCTAGGATTACAGGTATGAACCACCATGCCCAGCTTCCTTATGTATTTATTTTACCAGGGATTGAACCGAGGAGTGCTTAACCACTGAGCCACATCCCCAGTCCTATTTTATATTTTATTTAGAGACAGGGTTTCACTGAGTTTCTTAGTACCTTGCTGTTGCTGAACTGGCTTTGAACTTGCAATCCTCCTGCCTCAGCCTCCCAAGCTGCTGGGATTACAGGCATGTGCCTCTGTGTGAAATTCATTTTTAAAAGGGACACAATCCAGACCTTGTCAAGTAGTAGTGAGGATCAAAGAAACTATATTTGAAAGCTGAACAATGCAGATCCTCAGCTCACCAAGCTAGGTGTGAGCCATCCCCCCGCACCTGGCTCTACCTCTTCCAGCTGCTACCCTGCTCACCTTGGCCTGCAGCTTCCTCACAAGGGCAGCTTGCCTTTGCTGTGCCTCCTGGAAGCTCTTCAATTTCCGCCAGGAGACTTCCTGGTTCTCCGCCATCTGCTGCTGAAGAGCCAGCACTTGCTCCTCCAGCACCAGCTGCAGAGACTGGGGCTTCATGTCGTTCAACCTGGTGCTTCCTGTCTCCATGGGGGCATCAGACAGCAAGTCCACAGGTCCCTATGCATCCAGAGGCTGTTTGCTCCCTGCAGGGTTCTCTAACCATTTCTGTACCACTTCTACTTCTTCTTGAGCTGGAGACCAAAGCACAACTGAAATGGAAAGAACAGTCCAGATGACCCAAATTTATTCAACAAACTTGTATATGGCAAAACTTGGTTGGACAAAGTAAACAGGTTCCTCTACTACAGGACTCCTCAGAACCTCTAACATAATAAGATAGATCCAGGAAAAATGGTAAGCACTTATAATCCCAGCTACTTGGGAGGTTGAGATGGGAGGATTGTTTGAGTCCAGGAGTTCAAGGCCAGTTTGGCCAACATAGCAAGACTCCATTAAAAAAAAAAAAAAAAATTTTAAGACAGATCCTAATCTCTAAGACGGGGTTCTGATGAGGATCATTCCCCAAATTTAATGGATCATGAGACAAGCTCACAGGAATACCATTTCCTGGCATGCCTTTGGAAACTCTGATGAAACCAAGGGCTCCTGGTTTACCACTGCATCCCTCATATCTACCATAGCCATGAAGACATTTGTTGAAGGAATTACTGAACGTGCTGTTAGTTTGGCAAGGGAAACAGACACAAATAATTACAACAAAATGAAGCATATGCAACAAGAGTGCAGGTTAGCATGGAGAAAAAAAAAAAAAAAAGAAGGCATTTCACCTAGCTTGGGGGGCTGTGAATTATGTGAATCATCATCATTCAGGTCAGTTGCTTTAGCGTTTTACATGCATTATGTCATTGTGTCTATGTAAGAATCTTGAAATCTTCTGAGACCTTCCTACCTCCCTTCACCATATGTGCTATTCTAGCTCTTTATACATGGATGAAGAAACGGAGGATTAGAAAGATCAAGCAACTTGTACCAGGTCACACAGCTGACTCCCTGACAAAGAAAAGGGGTTGCTGATGTTTCAGGTAAGGGATCCAAAGAGAAAGAGAAGGGTGGGCTGGGTGAGACAGTACATGCCTATTATCCCATCAAATCAGGAGGCTGAGGCAGGAGGATCACAAGTTCAAGTCCAGCCTAGGCAATTTAGTAAGACCCTATCTCAAAAAAATGTAGGGGATGTGCTGGGAAAGCAGCTTGGTGGTAAAGCACCATGGGTTCAAACCCCAATAATGAAGAGAGAGAAAAAAAATAAAACAAAACAAAAAAACAGTTGCACCAGGATAGTAAACCATTCTCACCTACCTGGGCAATGGGCCACCTGCAGGCAGAGGCAGCCAGCCTAAGAGTGACCTTTGGATATACCCAAGAGAGGGGAGGCATTGTAGCAAAGAAAAATTATGGGGGGCTATGACCTCAGGCGTGCCACTTCCCTTTCAGTCCCCTTGTCCAAAAATGAGGGCATCCAGCTCTATGACCTCTGAATTTCTTAAGTCTCTAAAACTGACAATTATTCTACAACCTGTGTAGGAGAGATCAGGGAGTTCCTTCATGTTATTAACCCTAAGACTCCCATCAGCAGGATTAAGGAGTATCTGTATTTCCAGCAAATGAAAATCTAGCATTTATATACACTAGAGGTTTTAGGGGCCGCAAATGCTTTCATGCACCAAACTGCAAATCTTTTACATTCTGGCTCAAATGCCACCTCCTATCATATGCTCCCAGAAGGAAGTTACCACTTTCATAGCTATACACACATACACACTCACTCACTCTCTCAAATACATATATATTCTAGAATATATATTCTAATGTTCAGATTAATTACATTTTATCTTCATTATTTATCTACCTTCTAATCTGTGAGTCCCTCAAAGGCAGAAGTTGTCTAAATCATTTTAGTTGTCTGTAAGTTGTCAACAATGCATAATAAAGAAATATGTGAGGGGCTAGGGATATAGCTCAGTCAGTAGAGTGCTTGTCTCACATGCATAAGGCCCTGGGTTCAATCCCTACGCACCACAAAAAAAAAAAAAAAAAAAGAAAGAAATATGTAAGAATATATCACAGATCTCCAACAGATCTAAACCATAGGCCAGGTATTGCAGATCAGTGGGGTTTGCTGGCTCTTTTCAATCACTGTGTGTGGACCACACGATGATTTTTTTTTTTTTTTTGGTGGTAGCACTAAGGATTAAAACCAGGGTCTCTAGTGATAGCTAGGCTATCACTTTACCCTTTTTATTTTGTTTTTTGAGACAAGGTCTTGCTAAATTGTTGAGACTGGCCTTGAACTTGTGATCCTCCTGCCTCGGCCACCCAAGTAGTTGGGATATCAGGTGTGTCACTGCCCTGCCCAGCTACATACAATGATTTTTTAAACATTCAAGTTAGGTTTCAACATTTATAATTAGGGGAATACACACTAAAAACTGTTATTACTGGGCTAGGGTTGTAGCTCAGTGGTGGAGCACTTGCCTTGCATGTATAAGGCACTGGGTTTGATTCTTAGTACCACATAAAAAATAAACAAATTAAAAGTATTTTGTCTATCTATTACTAAAAATATTAGAAAAACAAAAACCCTTATTTCTGGCTCTTTTGGAAAATTAGAGTACAATGACCTTTGAGCCACATTCCCACAATAAAATGACCCAAGTTGCAATTGAATAGTGCCTGTCCCCTTTGGATAGGGCATATACTCTCTGGTTCACCAAAGTTCCTCTGTCCCATGACTATTCTCTGCCTCACACTGACAACAGATTTCAGTTCTCATTTATCATTGTACTCGTGCTATTGTTTTTCTTAGAGTTATAGAGAAAAACTCAGTTTACTAATTTATCCTGAACAACTGAAGTCACCTTAGTCTTCAGAACTTTTCCTGGGCAGTTAAGAATAAAACAATGAGGGCTGGGATATAACTCAGTGGCAAAGCACCTGCCTTGCATTTGCAAAGCCCTGGGTTTAATCTCCAGTTCAAAATAAAGGACAAAATTAGAAATAAATAAAGTAGTGACAGTAGAGTGGCACCAGTGAAGGTCTGGTGGTACCAATAACCCAGGCGGAAGTAATTCAGCCTTCCCCAAATTACAAACATCTTCCTTTTCTGCCCTTCCTTTCCACCAGGGCTGCAAAACCAACTAACCATTGCACCAGGAAGTGCTGGCTCTTCAGAGTTTGATGGAGTGCAATCCCTCTCTGCTGGATGGAGGCAGACCTTCCAGAAAACTGCTCGCTTACCCCAGGATTTCTGCCAACACTCTACCAACAATAAGAGCAGATCTGAGTTGCTTCAAAGGAACTGAAGTGCCTTTTCTCTCCTAATACTTCGAGGGTTGAGCCAGGCTTTTCCACATGCAGCTTCAGTGGACCAAAGGCTCCCTTACCCTCCTTTGAATCTCTATCCCAAATTACCAGATTGAACCATAGGACACTGCTGATATTTGCTCCTTATTTTTTAACCTACAGAAATGGCACTTTCCTCTAGTTCAACCTAATGTCTCTATATACAGCCTTGTCACAGTTCCAAGAATTCTCATTTAATCCTCTTTTAGGGTAAGGTTGCCAGTAACATGCAAACATTATTTGGGAAGATAATATCAGTAATATTTCAACAAAGAAATAAAATAATTTAAAAAATATAAAATTGCAGATAATTAAAAATTGTAGTGCTATTTAAAAGTTTAGTATAACCCTCTTTTTTTACAGATAAGGAAACAGGTTTATAAAGATGAAATAAGTTTATTTACTCATATTTTGTTTATATATCCACTTATCTCAAAAAAATGATTGAAAAGTATAGCAAATATACCATAATAATGTAGATATCACTAACAGCAGAAACTGGGTAAATAGAAACCCTGTGTACTATGCAATTTTTCCATAAATCTAAAATTGCTCTAAAAAATAAAGCTCAGTTGGGCGTGGTGGCGCATGCTTGTAATCCCAGAGGCTGAGACAGGAGATGGAGAGTTCAAAGCCAGCCTCAGCCACACTGAGGTGCTAAGAAACTCAGTGAGACCCTGCCTCTAAAAAAAATACAAAATGTGGCTGGGATGTGGCTCAGTCATTGAGGGCCCCTGAGTTCAATCCCTGGAACCCCCCAAAAAATAAATAAATAAAGTTCATTTTAAAAAAGGACTTGAAGTGTTATGATTAAAACAAACAAACAAACAAAGGCCAGGTTTGGTGGCACACACCTGCAATCACAATGATTTGAGAGTATGAAGTAGAAGGATCACATGTTCAAGGCCAGCCTCAGCAACTTAGTGAAGCACTAAGCAACTAAGTAAGACCCTGTCTCAAAATAAAAAATAAAAAGGGTTGGGGATGTGGCTCAGTGGTAAGGTACCTCTGGATTCAATCCCTGGTACCAAACAAAAAACAAACAAAAAATTGTAAATCTGAAATTCACTAAAATCAGAATAAAAAGGAAGGGACAGAAAAATCACATCAGGGAACTTTCTAAAATTGAGACTTAGTTCTGAACTTCCTGGAGATAGCTCAGCACCCTTTTATTAACACTTTAGATACACTAGCAGAGCTCAAAAGGAAAGGTAGGTTTCCATGTCCCCCAGAAAAGGAAAAGGTCAATAGCTGACAAATGGTAACAGATTAGATTGCATTCAAACATCCAGGAAGCCTGTAAACTGTAAGCCTCTGAATAGGATTTATTATTACTGCAGGAAAAGGGAACAGATTCACTTTCTTTATGCATTAGTTTATCCCATAAATACTCAGGAATTCAAGTCTGCCACTGTTGTACAGAAATAGCAGGACCTACTTCCCGCTTTTGTCAAGAATCAGATTGAGGGCTGGGGCTGTGGCTCAGAGGTAACGCACTTGCCTGGCATGTGTGAGGCACTGGGTTCGATTCTCAGCACCACATATAAATAAATAAAATAAAGGTCTATCAACAACTAAAAAAATATATATTAAAAAAAAAAACAAAAAGAATCAGATTGAGAAGGGCAGCAAACTCAAGACCAAGAGCCGCCTGTGAACTTAAGGTAGAAGGTAGCAGAATAATGATATGAATAATGTATTTAGTCTGCTCTCATCCAACATATTCTAAAAGGAGTCTTTAAATAAAGTTTAAAAGAGGAACAACTCCACCTAAACTTGGAGTAGAGGTATAAATACTACAAGGACTAAGAACCAGACTGGCATTATTAAATATAATTCGGCATTTATGGCAAAAAAGAAAAGGCACTTAAGGACACATCTTATTTCCTGAGTAAAAACACTATAGAGACATTTTGTGTACAGATACCATTTCTGCTGCTGCTGCTGCTTCTTTTTCTTTTCTTTTTTTTGGTACCAGGGACTGAACCCAGGAATGCTTAACCACTGAGCCACATCCCCAGCCATTTTTTGTATCTTATTTAGAGACAGGGTCTGAGTTGCTTAGCGCTGCACTAAGCTGCTGAAGGTAGCTTTAAACTCACAATCCTCCTACCTCAGCTTCCTGAGTCGGTGGAATTACAGGTGTGCACCACTGCATCTGGCTCCATTTCTGCTTCTTGTGGAGGTGCGGGGAGTTAGCATGAAACTCCTTATATAAGTCACACATGTGGGATGTTCCTGTGTTCTCTTCTCACTTATGGTCTCTCCCACTCAATCTTTGTTGCTGGCCCCTCTTTATCTCCATGATATCTGAATATTGGGGGCCCAGGGCTCAGGCATCAGGCCTCTTCTCCTACATTTATTTCCTAGGAAAATTGCATCCTGTTTCACAGCTTCAAATAGCACCTACACACCCATAACCCTCAGGGTTACATCTCTAGCCCACACCTTCCTCTGGAACTCTGTCCTGCTATACCATAATCAAACATCTATTTAACTTCTCCAAGTAGATGTCTAGTAGGCATCTATCTCAATTTACTCCAAAAGTAAACTGCTGCTGCTCCAATCTTCCCTACTTTAGTAAATGGCACTGCCATACTTCTACTGCTCAAGTCAAAAGCCTTACAGTCAGACTTATCCCACCCGGCCATGCCCTATAACCTCCACATCAGCAAATTCTGCTGTTCATACCAGACCCCCACTGCCACCATCCTGAGCCAAGCCACTCTTTAACCTGGTGTGACGGCTTTGAGACATGCCTACAAACTCTTTGATACTTTTCCCTCAAGAGGTAACGCTTAATTCGCTTCCCTTGAGTGTGGGCTGGACTGAAGTAGAAATGATTTCTGAGACAAGGTCATACATGGTACTATGGCTCCTTGTTTGCTTACTGTCTTTCTCTCTGTCTCTGATCAGTCTCTCTGGGGGAAGCCAACTATTCTGAACTGAGGATACAAAGGCACCTGTGAAGAGGCCCAGAGGTAAGGAATTGGGCCTTCTGCCAAAAGTGCTGTGAGTGAGCCTTCTTGGAAGCACATCTTCCAGCCCCTGCTGAAGCCTTCAAATCACTGCAGCTCAAGTTGTCAGTCTGACTGCAGCCTAGAGATCCTAAGCCAGAAACAGCCAGCTAATCCACACTAGGATTTTTGATTCTCAAGAAATGTGAGAGACAATAAATTACTATTATTTTAAACTGCTTACTTTTGGGGTAGTTTATTGCACACAACTGATAACTAATACATCTGGATTACTACAAAAGATTTCTAGACGGTAGTGATACCTCCTAAATTTTATTATTTCTCAACAGAGTAGTCATAATCCTTTTAAAATATAACAGATGATGCCACTCAGAACTCTCTACCAAAATCCTCAAAATGGTCTTCAGGATCATAATTCTTTGATCCCAGACCCATTTGTTTTAATTCTACTTTCTATTCCTTTCCCCTTTGTTCCCAACCCTCCAACCACACTGGTCTCCCTGCTGTGCATGCTTGGAACACACCAAACCCAACCCATTTCATGGCCTCTTCCCTAGTTATCTTCATGATCTGCATCCTTACCACCTTCACCTAGGTCTCTGTTCAAGTGTCACTGCTCAGTAAGTGGTTCCTTAACCATATAAAATACCATCACTCCTCCACACATGCTGGTATTTCTACTCACCTTACTATTTACTTATTTGTCCTTGTCTAATTATTATTATATAATAACCTACCAGAATGTAAATTCTACCAGTACAAAACATTATTTTATTGGATGCTTGTGCTCTCAGCTCCTAAAATAATGCCTGGAATGTAACAGGTGCCCATTAGATATTCAACTGACTGATATCACAACATTAGGTAACATGATCTACATTATCCTTCATAACCTTACAAAATGCTGACAGTTCTATTGCCACTCTAAAAGCAAAACTCAGAGCTTATACAGTTTGTACAGCACTTTACTTTCATAATAATAACTTGCAATCTTCATTAATTAAAAAAAAAAAAAAACCCTCTCATAGCCATGCAAGGTGATGCACACTTATCATTCCAGCAGCTCGGGAGGCTGAGACAAGTTCAAAGCCATCCTCAGCAATTTAGTGAGTCTGTAAGCAACCTAGTGAGATTGTCTCAAAATAAAAAATAAAAAGGGATGGGGATGTGGATCAATGGTTACTTGCCCTTGGGTCCAACCCCTGGTACAACAACAACTTAAAGATGAGATTATGGTCCTCATTTTATAAACAAGAAAACTAAGGTTCAGTGGGCAGGAGTCCTGGCTCATGTGATCCCAGGGACTTGGAAGGTTGAGGCAGGACTGCAAGTTCAAAGTCAGCTTCAGCAATTTAGCAAGACCTCAAGACCCTGTCCCAAAATAAAAAATTAAAAGGGCTGGGGATGTAGCTCAGTGGTAAAGCACCCCTGGATTAAATCCCTGGTTAGAGAGAGAGAGAAAGAAAACTAAGGCTCAAAAAAAAAAAAAAAAAAAAAAAAGGACATAACTGGTCAGTGGCAAAGCAGAGACTGAACACCAATCTAATTGATTTCAAATTGTATGCACTCTCCATTACATTACCTGCCTCCTAACTTATAGACTAGGAAGCTACAATTCTAAGGGTCATTTCTTAAAGGGTGTGAAATAATGACATCTACGCCTGCAGCTTTCTGAGGAAAAAAGAGCAATAAAAGGTAGAATATGATGGATAGAATATAGTTATACAAGGACAACCCCAGTTTTATCCTTGGTTTTGTCATGAACTCATTCTATCAATTTGAGAACATCAATTCTTCTTTCAAAGACGTGTCAGTAAAATGGGAATCATAATCCTGGCCTTCATAACTCAAGGGGCTAATATGAAAATCAATTCAATAGTCAAAGGCAATGGAGTAAAGTTATCACATGCCCTGGGGACAGTTTCCAGCTCTACTCACTTATTAGTTGTGAGACTCAGGAATATTACTCCATCCGTGAGTGCCTCAGTTTCTTCAAATGCAAAATGTGAAGATACGAAACACACCTCTAGGTCTCTGTGAAGATTAAATAGACCTTTACATGTAATGCGTTTAAGAAAATCTGACACTTTGCGACTACTCGGTAAATATTAGCTTTTATCATCATCATGTTCAAGATCCTTGAATATAGAGACCAAAAAGGCAAAGCATAACGTCCAAAGACCGAGCTCAAAGTGTGAAAAGGCAGAAAAAGCGATTTGTGAAAATGCACAAAAAGCCACAAAGCGAGGTTAGCTGCGCCTGGCAAGGACGGCTGGGAAAGGCTTCAAAGAACTGCTATTGAGTTGGGTCCGGAAGAACAGAGTTCCAGGGTCGCGCGCCAGGGCGGTGGGTGGGACTGGGCTTTCGGACAGATCACGTGCAAAGCCCGGGGACTCAGGGAGATGGGCGGGAGAGCGCAGTGCGTACCCGCACAGCCCGGGGTTGCCGGCGGTTGGATACCAAGGTTGGAAGTACTTTCTGCGCGTACTGGAGCCCAGAGTGGTGCCGGCAGCAGGAAGCTGAGATGGGCAGGCCAGGGGCCCTAGGACAAATTCCAGTCCCTCTCTGGGCCTCGGGTCCTCCTGGGAAACGGGAGGCCGCTGTCCAAACGGGATTCCCGCGGGCGCCCCAGGCGGGCCGGTCCCTGGGCCTCGGACCGTTAACCCGGGCACCTCCCGCCTGCCCCTGAGCCCCACCTCACCGCGATCAGCTCCGGCAGATTCCTGGAGAGCTGCTCAGCAAAGGAGCGGCCGCAGCCGCCGAGAGGCCGGGCCGGGGGCGGGAGCCCTCCGGGCTCGCGCTCAAACCCCGCCCCCAAACTCCCGCCCTTTGGGAGGGCCCGCCCCACAGTGTAGCGCGCCTATAGGCCGACAGCGCCGGGGGCGGATCTCCACCATGTTGGGTACTGGCGTCAGGCTTACTCGAGACATCCAGAAGGAAAGTGGGGGTTATATGGAGACATAGGATCCCTTGCCAGACATGGAGACAGCCAGAGCTTTTGGATTACAGCAAAGGACATTTCAAGAACAGAAAAATCTTGCCTCAATTATTCCCCTGTTGGCTTCGGCGTTACATAACGCGCATGCGTAATAAAAAAATTCACTTGGTTCGAGACGCGCCTGCGCATCGCTCTACTTACAAACCGCGTAGAATACCAACTGCGTGAGAAAGGAGCTGTAAAACTTGCGACCCTGGTCTTCCTTCTTGCTTTCGAACCCCGACGGTTCGGGCAGCCCTAGGCAAAACAACAGTTGCAGCAGAATGACTTAGTGTTATTTGGAACACTCATCCCTTTACATACCTTTGCACAGTGTTACCTTTGCCTGAATGGCCTAAATGTGACCAAAGAGCTACATAGAGTTGGTCTCATTTTCTACGTAATCAAGATTCCCCTAAAATTTCCCCCTATGACTGCGGTGTTATTCTCAAGGCATTTTGTGTATCAAATATCAATGCACTTTTTTTTTTAAGAGAGAGAGAGAATTTTAATCTTTTATTTTTTAGTTTTCGGCGGGCACATCTTTGTTTGTGGTGCTGAGGATCGAACCCCGGCCTCACGCATGCCAGGCGAGCTTGCTACCGCTTGAGCCACATCCCCAGCCCTCAATGCACTTTCTTAGAATTAATATTCCCTTTATCTGCCTCTTCCATTAAGTGGTCCTCAATTTTTAGTAAGGATTGAAAACAAAAAAGCTGAGAAACTTCTACCCCTTAAAATTCAGCAAACCAATGGGGGAATCAGTAATCTGCGTTTTAGCGAATACCCCCATGTGATTCCAATGTATTAGGTACACATTTTGGGTAGCACTTCAGGAGATTGTGAGCTCCTTGAGGATAGAGATTATTTTTTGGCCATTTCTGCTTCCAACACACAGCACAAAGCCTGGATGAAATAGATGCTCATTAAGTGTTGAGTGAATTAATGAGTAGCAAAAGTGAAATAGGCAATAGGCCTCTAGTTAAGACAAAGAGAACCTGCCTGGGAGAACACTGTGTTAGGAGCTACATTTTATTTCTCTTGTGTAAGAACTTCTTAATATCTACTTTGCAATAAAGAGAAAGTGGAGTGAAAGGAGATAGGAAAGTGAGGACACTTATTCGGAAAAGCAGTTTCTGGAGAGGGAAGAAGAAACATCTCCAGGTACTGGGCAGAAAAAGATGGAAAGAATCAGTGGTGAGAAGCCACCCTAGGGAAATAATTCCACTACAAGCCCTGTACAAGAATATTCCCTGGGGCTGGGGATGTGGCTCAAGCGGTAGCGCGCTCGCCTGGCATGCGTGCGGCCCTGGTTCGATCCACAGCACCACATACAAACAAAGATGTTGTGTCCGCCGAGAACTAAAAAATAAATATTAAAAAAAAAATAATAATATTCCCTGCTACACTACTTGGCATGGAGAAAAACAAAATTGCATAAATGTGAAACATACCAAATTTTCTGTACCAGGACTTTTTGCAGTACTTTGCCCTCTATCTAGACCACTTTCCTCCCAGCTCTTGGCTCAGCTGGTACCTTCTCCTTTTTCCTGTCTCATTTTAAAAAATATTTCCTAAGTTGAGTCTTCCCTTACCATGCTATCTAAAGTAAAACTTACCCTATATTTTCCATCATAATTGTCTATATCTTACATAGCACTTTCTACTTATTTTATTTGTTTACCTATCATCTTCTCCCCACCTCTGAAATTTAAGCTTTATGAGGTCAAGAGTCCCTGACTTCTTTCTAGGATAACACATAATCTGACACTTGGTAGGTGCTAAATTGAATGTTATTCGTTGACTGAATGAATCAAGTCAACCTAAGTCTTAAATATTTTAATAACATAAAATCCATCGCAAAAAAAGACAATATGTTACAACTATGAGGAGTAAACCTAGGCTTCAGACTACCAAAACATACCAATAAAGGGGTAAATGAACTAGAAGGGGATCAAAATCAAATGGTAATTTTTGATCTTTGTAAAGTGGGATTAATTCATTCCCTTATTTATTCTTTTACCCAGAAACATCTCTTGAACATATAGTATGTTCTATGATTGAATAATGACACAATGTATTAACCATAAGTTGGAAATTGTACTAAAACATAAGTGGGGCTGGGGTTGTGGCTCAGCGGTAAAGCGCTTACTTAGCACCTGTGAGGCCCTGGGTTCGATTCTCAGCACCACATAAAAATAAATAAAGGCATTGTGTCCAACTACAACTAAAAAATAAATATTAAAAAAAAATAAATAAAGTGGTACAACTAAAGCAGGAAAGTGAAATTGCTGATGCAGGAGAGTAAGTAACATTGCCCTCTAGAGGTTCTCTAGGCATCAGCCTTCAAATGTCCTGCCTAGTGCCAGGAACATTTGGGATGCCTAAGTGTTAATACACATCACTTGAATTGTTTGGAGGGTCCCATGAAAAAAGACTTCAGACACAATTAGAGTCTGTCCATTTTAGAACCATCTGATGAATCAGACTCGGGAGGAGTCCTCAAAGGAGGCTGGGTTGGAGAAATAAAGAGAGAGAGACAATGGATCATTTGGAAGAAAACCTAACTTGGCCCCTCCAGGTGAATTGGGCTCTTTCCTTTACATCCTAAATTCCATCTCTGGGAATGTGAAACATACCAAACTTTTCTGTACCAGGACTACATACTTTGCCCTCTACCTAGACCACTCCCCCCCCATGACACTATATTTTCCTAATTGCCTAAGATCTGTTTTAAACTTCTGAAACCTTTATCCATTACAAGAATATAGAGGAATCAAGAGCATAGGGGATAGAGAATTTGTATAGCAATATTTCTGGTTGTGGGTCCTCACCCCTCCTTGGGGAAGATTGGCGGGAATGCAATCTTTAAACACTCCGGTCAAGTGATTGGGAAAAGCGGCTTCCACAAGAATTTAAGGTGCCAAATCCATCACTATTATACCTGGGGAGCATAGTGACTAGGCCTGCTTCCTGCCTGGGAATCCTAGCAGCAAGAGACAGTACAAACCTGCTAGCTGCTTTGGTGGCAGAGCCAGGAGAGTCTGTGGATGTTGCCTACTCTCCCAGAATTTTTCAGTGAGTGTTTTCTGAAGGCCAGATGTGGGCTGTAAGAGAGAGCCTACAGAACCACCCTAGGTCCTGTTCAGTAGGGGTAAAGAGGCCCCAAGAATAATAATACAGACAAATGAGCACTGGTAACAGAGAAGTCTTTTGCTAAGGGACCTGTAAAGAAAGGAGCCCAGCAGAGAACTACTGAGGAGCCTAAAACCATTTCATGACACTTTGATGATGGATAGAGAAAGTAATGGTCATCTGTGAGACCAAAAAAACACAAAGCCTGCTACAATACTCGATTTTTCCTACTTCTTACCCATCTTTCTATGTCAATACCTTGAGTGTCTGAAGTGAGCTGAGGGTGACAGAAGGGGACAATAGAGGAAAAAAAAAACACAACCATTTCTCACTGCAAGTGAAGTTCTTTTTAAAAATTTCTTTAGTTGTAGATGGATACAATACTTTCATTCTGTTTATTTGTTTTTATGTGGGGCTGAGGATCGAACCCAGTGCCTCACACATTCTAGGTGAGTTGTTTACCATTGAGCCACAACCTCAGCCCTGCAAGTGAAGATATAAGCAGAGCTGGAGTCCCCAAAAGAAACAGTCTCTTGCATTAAATTGTGAACAACTTGCTGCTCTCCGTCTATCTGAATCTATTCATGCACCATTAAACAATATTGATTGAGCACCTATTACTTGATGAATCATGAGCTAGACATTGTGAGGTACCCAAAGCATAATAACCCTTGGGCCCAGTCTAGAGCCTCAGTTCATACACTCTCATGGGAGATGGACAAGGAAACAAATATTTCACACACATACAGTGTGGTAAATTCTATAAAGAGGGAGTGGTCTGGATTTGGAGGGGTGGAGACATTATGAGTTGATTGAAAGGGTAAAAATGTTGAGCAGACAAATGGAATGAGGGCATTCTGATCAGAGTATGTGCAAAGCACAGTGGTGGGCAAGAGTGTGGGATGTTTGGGGAGTTTTCTCTGGAAACTCCTTTTGCTCATTTCACCACTTGGTTGTCCCCCACCCCGACCCCGCACTCAGCTTGATATTTTCTTCCTGCTTCTGATCCTGCCTTAGTGGGCAAGTCTCCAAATCTAGGCCCTTCTCACTGATCAAGTCAGGCTCTAAGTTACTAGCACACCCAAGCTTGATACTTCTTTAAGGGGCTGACCTATTTTTGCCACTGTTCAGGACTTGGCCATAAAGGAATGGTCAGTAACAGTTCTCATGGGACCAGGTCATTTCTTTCTTCAAAAATGGGTCCTTAAAAATATTTAAACCTGAGAACTTATCTGCTGCCTTGTGTGACACAGCTAAGCTCTAAGATTCTGGATTAGAGTCAGGCAGAGGAATATAATGGAAAGAACACTAAACTTGGGTTAGACACACTCACCTGGGATTGAACCCTTGCCTCTGCCTTGTGTCCTTCAGCAACTCACTTCCCCTCTCTGAGCCTCAAATTCTTAGCTGTCAAGTGGGAATTATAATACAGATCTGCTAGAATTCTTATATGCAAAACGGAAGATGGAATTAGATGGAGAGAAGGTGGAATGAATGGAGTCCCTAGCAAGGATCTGGAGTGTCTGACCTCAAGAAGAACAATAGGGGGCTGGGGATGTGGCTCAAGTGGTAGCGCGATCGCCTGGCATGAATGCAGCTGGGGTTCGATCCTCAGCACCACATACAAACAAAGATGTTGTGTCCGCCGAGAACTAAAAAATAAATATTAAAAAAAAAAAGAACAATAGGGTTTTC